ATGCAAGCCCTGAAGGACCTGTCGGTGTACCACTGCAGCCCGTGCCCAGACCCCCACCGCATGATCAGGGACCCAGGCACCGGCGATTGCAAATGCAACGTGAGTTTCTCAGGTGCCTGCCGACCGTGTGACCCTCGATCGGAATTGCAGCGACCGTCGGCCGCGCGGGTCTCGATAATGGGATGTGCCGACTGTGCGGTGGATTTGCGTGGGCCAGCCCAATCGATCACGCGGTCCATTCTGTGATTTGTCGGCGTGATTGGATCTCGCGATCGTGATTGGCCGTTTGGTTGGCACGTCACCGAGGCTGACTCCTATGCCACAGGTGGCACTTGCATAGATATCGTGGACTACGACGAAATTAACGACAGGCACCCCGCGATTTCGGCAGTAGAGGTAACATTCCGTGACTTGATCGACGACCGCGAAGAGTTCTGGCAGTATGGGCCCTTTGGTACCCATTTGGGGCTCGAAGAGAGATATGACGACATCATGGAGGTGCTGAGCGTAGATGGCATCGGCAGCACCATCCAAGTCACCAGCGCCATGTTCAAATGGCTGTATATGCGCTGCGCTGTTGGCTGCGAGGATGGAAACGAGACCGCTTGCCAATGCATATCGAACTTGTGTGTGCTGCAGCTGTACGAGGATACGGCCACCGTGTGCACCGTGCTGACCGACTTCCTCTACTCGGGCCGCGAGACCGTGGACGGCTACCTTGGCTGGAGGGTGGGCATGCCTTGGCTGTTCTACGCGCCTGCCACAGCCGACCAGACGCTCTACGACACCAGCCTGCAGTGGAAGTTCGTCCTGCAGGATGAGGTGGAGGAGCCGCCGGGCTTCACACGTGCACACGTGCGCAAATACACGTGGAGCCACGAGAGCGCGCGTGAACGCGTGCTTGGCGCGCACGCGCGTTTCTTTCACTATCTAGTTCCCGCCTCGTCTAGTGCCAAGAGTTTGGCCTCGGCGGCTTCGGAGGAGCCTGCGCTGGCGAGGGTTCGCTTCGAAGGCGGCTCGTTTCTTGTGGTTCGTGGCACGTCGACCGACCGCCTCACCGACCCTGGCCAGGACCATCCTGAGCCCAGGGTCGGTGTATGCGCTTCCCAGGCCAAGCTGGGAGGGCAAGCACCGACCCTGGGCCCGGGATGGGCCCGGCCAGGATGAGTTAGATGGTCGGCTGCCGCCCCCCCCAGTGGTGGTCCCTCCACCCTCAGCTTGACACAGGATTGAAAGCAATGCGCGCCGAACGGTGGGACCAACGGTCATGATTCTCCTGAAGGAAGACTTAGTTCATTTACAAAAACCATCCTCTGACGTCGAACCTCGACCCTCCACCTTACTCCACCACAGGATGCCGGGTCCACGAACACGCTGTCGTTCTGGTTGGGCAGCTTCTCGCTCGAGGGCGAGTGGCTCGGGTGGTCCGAGCTGGGCTCACAGCTGAACCTCTGCTTGGAGCTGGGGGGCACGTCCCAGCGCCCGCAGGCGGCGCCGAGCGCCTGGACGCGTTTCGGGGGTTCCAAGGAAGAGCCGAAGTTCGGGCATCGAACTTCGATCGGGAACGGCCAAGAGGGGACGGGATGACAAGGGGGGGTCATGGCAGTGGCCATGATGTCTCTCCAGATTTCATGGCGCCCTCTTCTGATTGGCCAATTTTCTACCACAGCTGCCACAGCCTGGACGGAGGAGAAGGAAGGATGAGGAGGTCCTCCTCCTCCTCTTTCTCCTCCTCCTCCTTCTCCTCCTCTTCCTCCTCTTCCTCCTCCTCCTCCTCCTCCTCCTCCTCCCCCTCCTACCTATGGTAGCGGTGGTGGGCAATCGGCCCAGCATCTTCTTCTCTCAATACGTCCTCTCGTCCCCCCCCCCCCACACTTGGCCGCGCACATGCCTCGGGCCATGCGACCCCCTCTTGGATTCGGCCACGCGAAGAGGGGGGAACGGGGAGGGGGAAAGGCTTCCTGGAAGCAGCCTCCTTCTAAGAAGGCTTCCCCCCTCTCCCCCTACATTCTTGCGCGCGCCCTCCAGTGAACGCCCCCGATTCGAGGGTCAAGGCTTCTGTGCTCCTACACCTCCGTTGGAGGCTCCTGGCCGTCGCGGCTGGCTTCCCATCGAGGTTCTCGACGCGTCGCGCACGGTGAAGCGTGTGTTGAGGAATTCAGACCTTGGATTATTGTGTATCTGAAGAGGGCGGCGGCGATGTGCTTTCCACCAGCTTCCAGTCCCTGGATTCCGTATCCAATAGTTTCTTTTCCAACGCCCTCACCGTGTCCCCGTCAGCCCATCCAGAGGCGATGCCCAGGGGCGTTGTCGAATGGAGGGAAGCAGAGAAGCATTCAGCATAACAGAGGTCTTTGGTGGGATCTCTTTGGGCCATATTGGAGGTCCTCTTGAGACGCTCTTTGGGCGATCCTGGGCGTTTCGGGGGCCGTCGTCTTGGAACCCTTCCGGGCCAACTTTGGGGCGCCCTTGTACGAAGTTGCAACGCTCTTAAAGCCCATGTGAAGCGAAAATGCGAGCAGGCAAAAAGCAGCGGAAAACAACAGGTGTTCGAATGGTTTAGGCTTATCGGAGGTGTCTTTGGGAGACTCCGTGGCCACTTGGAACCTTCTTGGGGCGGTATTCGGGCTTCTCGGAGGCATGCTAGAAGCAATATTGTGCCATCTTGAGGGCTATGTTGTGCCATGTTGCATAAAACATTTGGTTTGCTGGGGGGCACCTTGAACGCTCTGACCTCTCGCGACGCCCGCCGTCCAGTCCCAGGGGGCGGGGTAGGGGGAGGGGTCAAGTTACCCCCTCCCCGCCCGCAAGCCGTCTCGCTCACTCCCACCCGCCCTCCCAACACATACGTAGCACCCGAGTCTGGCCCGAGCCTGAGCATATTCAGCAGTCGTCTTGGGATGGGCAGCTACTGGGGGCCAATCCGCCGCCGCCGCCGCCGCCGCCTCAGCCGCCGCCGCCGCAGCCGCCGCCGCCGCCGCCATCGCCGCCGCCGCCGCCCCCCGCTGCCAAACCGCCGCCGCCGCCGCAGCCGCTGGCGCTGCCGCCACCGCCGCCGCCGCCGCCGCCGCCGCCGCCGCCGCAGCCGCCGCAGCCGCCGCCACCGCCGCCGCCACCGCCGCCGCAGCCGCCGCAGCCGCCGCCGCCGCCAAGTGTACTCTGTATTGTTTTTGACAGGGATGGTGGGGGGGGCCGCATCGGGTTGGCTGCGCATGTTCCCAATTTGGAGGCAGAGTGTGTGTTTGTATGGTTGTTTACAAGGGATGATGGGGGGGGGTCGGCATGGACCCAGGTTGGCCCCCAGTCGCCTGGGGGAGGGGGTGTTTATTAATAGGGAACAGTGATCAAGACTCCCTCCCCGCCCGCAAGCCGCCTCGCTCACTCCCACCCGCCCTCCCAACACATACGTAGCACCCGAGCCTGGCCCGAGCCTGAGCATATTCAGCAGTCGTCTTTGGATGGGCAGCTACTGGGGGCCAATCCGCCGCCGCCGCCCCCGCTACCAAATCGCCGCAGCCGCTGCCGCCGCCGCCGCCGCCGTTGCTGCCACCGCCGCCACCGCCACCGCCGCCGCCGCCGCAACCGCCGCCGCCGCCGCCGCCCCCGCCGCCGCCGCCGCCTCAGCCGCCGCAGCCGCCGCCGCCGCCCCGCCGCAGCCGCCGCCGCCGCCGCCGAGTGTACTGTGTATTGTTTTTGGACAGGGATGGGGGGGGGGAGGCCGCATCGGGTTGGCTGCGCATGTTCCGAATTTGGAGGCAGAGTATGTGTTGTATGGTTGTTTTAACAAGGGATGGTGGGGGGTGGGCCCTCATGGTTCCTGGTTGGCTACCAGTCGCCTGGGGGAGGGGGTGTTTCTTAAAAGGGAACAGTGATCAAGACACCCTCCCTGTGGCTCCCCATGGGGCGACGAACCGTGCGACGGGTGTGCCGAAACGAGGGGGCAGCCGCCATGCGACTCTTGCCACAGGGACCTTCGGTGTATCTCCCTATAGGGCCACGAACCGCGTGAAAGTGTGCCAAAATAGGCGCTGTCACGCATACAACTCCTGCCATTGCGGCCTTCGGCACCAACCGTGCGAGGGGCGTGCAAAAACGAAGGGGCGGCCGCCGTGCGACTCCTGCTACTGGGGTTTGCGGCAGACCTCCCTATGGAGCCACGAACCGTGTGAGGGGCGTACGGAAACGAGGAGGCGGTCGCCATGCGACTCGTGCTACCGGGGCCTTCGGTTGAGCTCCCTATAGGGCCACGAAACGTGTGAGGGGCGTGCCGAAGCGAGGGGGCGGCCGCCATGCGACTCCTGCCACTGGGGCCTTCGGTGAAGCTTCCTATTGGGGCCACGAACCGTGTGAGGGGTGTGCCGAAATGGAGGGGCGGCCGCCAGTGGCCTTCAGTGAAGCTCCCTTCGTCCACGAACCGTGTGAGGGATCTGCCGAAACGCAGGGGCGGCCGCCGTACGACTCCTGAAAATGGGGCCGTCGGTGGAGCTCCCTCTGGAGCCACGAAACGTGTGAGGGGCGTGCGGAAACGAGAAGGCGGCCGCCATGCGACTCCTGCCGTTGGGGCTTTCATTGGAGCCCTCTACGGGGCCACGGAACGTGTGAGGGGCGCGCCGACATGGAGGGCAGCCGCTAAGTTTCCTGCCACTGGGGCCTTCGGTGGAGCACCCTATGGGTCCACGAACAGTCGTGAGGGGTGCACCGAAACAAAGGAGAGGCCGCCATGTGACTCCTGCCACTGGGGCGTTCGGTGGAGCTCGGGCCGCGAACCGTGTGAGGGGTGTGCCGAAGTGATCACGTGTAGAGCAGCAGCAGGAGCAGGAACTCGGAGCTCGGATGCCTTCGAAAGTCCGCCAGAGGAGGCACTGCCGGGGGTGTGCAGGAAGCGAAACCGCCTGCAGACCAAGAGAGCCTGAAGCTCGGGCATCAAAACAAAGGCAAAGCCGTCTCCATGCATCGACACAAGAAGTCGAAACGAGAGCCGAGCGACCAGAGGCTCGGAGCGACATCGGGCAACCTCACATCCCCCTTCATATCCTTCAACTCACTTCCTCATCCATCCTCTGCCCTGCCCGCAAGCGGCACGGCGCGTGGGCGTGCCTGCAAAGAAGTTGTTGTAGACGTCGGGCGCACAAACGCGCGCGGGACTGCCTTCCCCACCCAATGCTCCATTGCCTCCCCACGCCTATTGCAACAGAGAGCGGCCGAGGGTGTCGAAGGTGGGGCCTGCGCCTGCACAATCGAACAGAGGCCTGTGAAAGAGAAATGTGTGGAAGCAATGGGAAATCTTATTCTTAATTCCGCAATGCCAGGAGACTCGCATGCTTAGGGCGACGAAGGGACAGAGCCAATTGGCCCATTCTTGGGGCAACCCCAGCAATGGACCAATCAGTTGTTCACTGCCCCCCCCCCCGCCTACCTCTGGAAGGCTCCCGCGAGACAGACAGCCTGCCCTCGGGAGGCTCGCACAAGACAGAAACGTTACCTCCATCCTCCCACTCCTATCCTAAGCCCTACATCCCCTTCATGAACGCCACTATCATGAGTTCCATGCGATGGCAGCTGAGAACCACCTGTGTAAGTCTGCTTGCACCTTGTCTTTCGGCACCCGAGGAGGCAACTCTGGAGGTGGACCGAACAAGTTCAAGCTCGGGATCGGTAGCCTACACTGCTCAGCCGCTCGCTCCCGTCTCCGACGCAAAGCCTCAGCCCTGTTCGCCGCAACACGAGCTCTCACGGCGTCAGACATAGGGGGAGGAGGCGGCGGAGACGGAGGGGGAGGGAGCGGTGGGGAAATCGACTAAGGGGAATGGGCAAACGGGTCCTCAGGAGATTCCTTGTGAAACAACGGACTAGGTTCAATTGCCAAAGAAATCGCCATGGAATGGTTGTTTAGATCATCAGCCTGCTGCATTTCCGAGCTCTGATTGGTACAGGTACAGGCCTGGACAGCACGGAGTCGCTCAATGGTTGATTGGTGGCGGGCAGGCCGTTTGACATCAAAATCTGGACCCATGGGAGGGGCCTCAGCAAATATGGAGGCCGTAGCAACAAAAAACTCATGCAATTGTTTTGTGCGCCCCTGCTCATGACATTCGCAGCTCTATTGAAATCAAGCACAGCTTCCAACATGTCCTGTGCCAAAGTAGAAAATAACGCATGCGGGTAGACTGTCTTGTGTGACGTTATTCAGGAGTCATCCGCTTGCTTGTGTAGCCAGGTCTGGTGGGCTCCTCGACCGTGGCGACACTTGCCATTCCCTAGGGTGGAGGTGAGGAGAGACGCTAGAGAGGGCATTCGAACGGCCAATATTCCTGTAGGCGGTTTGCAAACTTGGCCAAACTCACACTGGTCGAATTCTGTCCGGGAACAACAAGGGGCTGCAATGAGGGCCTTAGTGGTACGGAAGGACCAGGACGGGGTTGCACGGGGTTCCCACGTTGGGGCCGCGGGGTGCTCAACCCATCCTCATCCACCAATCGTCGCCAACACACAGCAACCCCACAATAGCCATACATAAAACATTGGCGACCTGAACCTGTAGACGCTGCCTGAGCGTTAAAGCCGCCAGCCCCCAAAGGGGATTACAGGACCGAAGTGGAGGGGGGGCGTCTTTCCAACGAGCCGCCGAGAATGTTTCGCACGGCCCCCCCCCCCCTCCTATCAGAGCAGTTCGGCCCGCCTTAATCTGGCCAGACCATAGATGAACCTCGGACTGCTTACTAAGGTCACCAACCTCTGAGTCAAATAAAATGTCGATAGATAGCACACGCATCTCAACACTAGGCAATACCATTTCCAAGGACGCTTCCACTGCACATTGAATATATCCTGTGCGGCGCTGGCCGGAAAAAATAGCAACGAAAACAGTATGGCGATGCAGTCTGCGTGGAATCACGTTAGCTCATATACCAGAGTATCCGTGACTATCGCACGGCCAATCTAGAAACACCATTTACCGAGCCAGGGGCATTGGTCTCAGTAGACAGCTGGCCCAACAGTTTACGAGACCATCCCGTCACTTCTTGCAAAACATTCTGCACGTACACCACAGCTTGGGCACGGGCGTATACTCTCTGGCATGTTCGCAGCAGGATGGATCGGCCCCAACGCGATACATGACGGAACCGCGCGCGTGAAGCAGGGTAGTTTCGCCTATATGTTTGAGTACTATTGTGTTTTCCCTTAGCCGCCAGCTCCTGTATGACTTCAGGCGCATGAGGCGGCAATTGATTCAGGTAAAACATCATAGAAGTTAGGCGCCATGTTGTCACGTGCCAAGCAAGCATTGTCCTGGACGAAAAAAAATCAGGCACGCTTGGCAGCAACTGTCTGACACATGCCTCCTTGCTATGCCCGACAAGGTAATGCAATTGGCACGGATGCGCGTCTAGAGATGAAACCTTATCTGAGCAAAATTCGTTAAAGTGGCAGTTGAACGTTTGGCGCTGCTCTTGCAGCCGCACGCCACGCTGGGGTGGCAATCCTTCACTTGTCAGCAACTTCAATGTTCTCCCCTTCCAGCGTGACGCATCCAGCTCTCGCCGTGCCTTAACAATTTCCGCCTTGGCAGCCTCCTGGACGGCACCTAAGCACGCTCGTTTGGAAGTCTTGGCCTGAGGCACCCAAGTTCCTGGATCTGACGACGGAAGAGGCATATCTTGGAACGCGTGATGGCTTGAACGCAGCCAGGCAAAATCCTCCGGGACCTGATGTAACCAGTAATTGTGTTTGGCGATGATATTCAGCATAGAGAAGCCCTAGCAGAGGAGCAGGAGTTGCCGCAATGACTTGTCCGAACAGCTGCAGTCTCGCCACACGCAGCACAACTGAGACGCTCGGCCTTGACGCAGCCGACATAACGTCCTCATCTGTAGAGCCTCCAGCCTCAAAGCAAGGAAGACGGAGAACCCGCCTGCACTTTCGCGCATATTGGGACCTGACGCGGGCAAGATCATTACCATACATATTGTACATGCACCGGCACTATACAGAGCAGAATTCATGACCAGGGAATCGGTGAAGATCAGTGTGGGCATGATCAAAAATTTGCGGGCCCTCTTGAAGGCCTTACTCAACACGGACAGCTGCACGCGTGATTCTGCGTCGCGGTGTACAAACTTCGGCCCCAACAATGCACGATCGGTAACGACAGCGCCTCGATGCACAGCTGTCCTGACGACGCTGATGCCCTCACCGACGTATAAAGACCTCACGGGAAACACCTCCCCCAGGGCATGAAAGACACGTCGACGAAAGCTGGCGGACCCAGGACCAGTCAGGTGCAACATCAATTCTGTTTTACCAATCTTGAGGTGAAGCACCAATCCAACGCCAGAGTTCGCGTCGAGCACAATATTGCCAAAAACTTCCAAGTGGTCTTGAACAGTCTCCAAGGCCGCAAGCGATGCGTGCAATGAATCATCTGCGTACACCATGGCTGGAAACTCTGCCTCAACCGTTGTCTCCTTCGCCTCTTCAAACACATGCGAGGATGGGAATAGCAGAAGAACAAGCGAGGCCCAGCTCTGCAAGCTCGCGCGCTACATTGCCGGTAAATTCAGCCATGACAAATAGGAACAACGCGTCTCCAAATGGTGTTCCAGGCCTACTTCCCCTGAACATGATTGCGATTCTAGTTGCCCTGGGAAACTGAAACCAGCCTAGCCGATAGACCTCCTCAACCACGGCCTTGACATGGTCATCCACATCCTGACGATGCAACGAGGGAAGTTCCTGAAGCCTCTGAGCCAAGAGCGGGAGGGGCGCTGCAAGCAGATCTGCTTGCTTCAACAAAGCCTTGAGCGAGTCTGGTGATACGTCAGTCTTGATCATGAGCTCTCGCATCGCCATATGATACGCATTTATGACATCAACAAAAAGAAAGCAAAGAAACTCTCGTAGCTGGAAGCGCCAGCTGCGCCCCACATCCAGGCACACCCGCATACTGCTGAGAGCCGACTGCTGACTGCATCGTTGGTAGTGAGTTGTCTTCTTAAACATGCATGATACTCCTTGCTGGTATGTGAAGCAACCAATATCGATCTAGATGCAGTAGGAGAGAACGTAGACCCTCGTGATTTGGGAATACGGGGTAGGTCACCGCCTTTCCATTGCAATGGCTCCGAAATCAACAAAGCAGCTTTCACAACCAGCGGGTAATAGGCGAGAGCCGATGAATTAGAGCACGCGCGCACAAACCTGCCATGAAGGCCATCAGCACCACCTGCACTACTTCTGGCAAGGCGCAAAACCTTGTGAAACTCCTGCAACACAGTATACCTACTGCCCTTTCGTTCAGCAACGTCTGCCGAGATACAACGGTCTTGAAACAGTTGCAGGAGTGTGAACGGCTCGAGCTTCGCCACAAGTTCCTGAGACGCGAAGTATTCAAGCCACGACTCGTTGGTTTCATGCACAGAAGCCACCAGCAAACCGTCAGGGCCCCGGACCGCCAGGAAGACCTTGGATTGACGATATTGTTTCGCCAGCGGCCCCCAGGCGCCGCAAAGCAGCAAACGCCTCCTCAAACTGCCGAATTGACCAGAGATCCCCAATAGATTGAGCCACCTCATTTAGTTTGTTGTCGACCTCCATGCAAGACCTATTCTGAGCAACCCGATTGAGAGGACCCAATAGGGTATAAGGAAAAGCCTGAACAAGAAGATGCAATAACCGACAAAACAGCGCTAGCCCCGTGCAGGATTTGGGGCCAGCCAGGCCCTTGGCAGTTGCCGCAAGATACCCAGGAAAAGCACACCAATTGTATCTGAACCAGCTTTCGCAAATCTCTGACTTGCCGACTTGCCAGACAGACCACATAGTCTCCCAAGCAACGTCTGCAAACTTTCCCTAGCCTGTCGGGCGACTCTTCCCGCAAAGGACATCAGAGAGTATTGGCATATCGGCAGCACGTCATCGTCAAAATTAGTTTGCCTGTGCACACCAAACGTCTTCGAGGCCCTGAACACCACACCCTGCCATAACCTCGCAACAGAGCTACGAATCTGTCGCAGGGCTCGGCGATGCGCGCGCCAGGCCCGCAAGAAATCCCGAGTGCCCTCCGACATAGCAGTTCTAGGAGCCTGAGACTTGACAAAGCACATCTCCAGGCCTTCTCGAACGTAAGCTGCGGTCAAGGAACAGTGCTCTGTGGGCGGAACATTCCAGGCGGGCGATGGGCAACTCTCCATATGCCCATAAGATTGTTGTAGGCGTTCGGGATCTTGCAACATCTTCGGGTCGACCGCTGGTTGTTTTTGGTATACAACGCCGACGACGATCGCAACTGCGGCACTGGGAGGGCAATACTCAAAGGCACAAGTAAGTGGTCCAGCTTAGCCAATGAGAGTTCAATATCACGGTTCACGCGGGACCCTGAAACATGAGGAAGATATCGTATAGGTAACGCCCCGGGAGGGACCCAGGTCTTGTGATCAACCGACGGCCCTAGGAACGCACACGGTAGACAAAGTTTGAGATCCCGAAGTAGGCTGGAAAACACGAACCACAAAAACATCGGTCTTCGTGCCCATGGATCCCACCGAAGACGACACCGTCGTCCCCAACATGGCGTTAGCATCAATCAGGAGAAATACGTAATCAGCCTTGCCAGTTGCACGGCGTAGCGAGCTAGTCGCAGCTTTCCACCATGTTCGAATCTCCGACATGCGATGCCCAGAGTGAGGGGCATGCCCAACACATAACGTGATGTTGAGCGATGCCACGGCCAACTGCACAATGAGCAGAGTCGGGATGGCTTCAACGACCGTTAAAAGATGTCTTGAAGTTGTTGTACCAGGCCGTCCAGAAACCAACTGCATACCATTTCTCAGCCACAAAGAGCAACCATGTGATCCAGAAGGATGTCTAGGTCCATGAAGCACGAGGTAGGAACCGATCGTGGCCCATCCAGGGAATTGCATTATGGTTTCAGCGGTCCCCACGCCACCCAATCCTTGCGAGCGAAATTGTTCCGCCAGAAGACTCGGCCTCCTTGATACAAAAGCTCCCACTATACGCTTACCGTTGGCTGTGTTCTGAAGGGTCAGGGCATTGGCGAAAGCCATGCCGAAGTTAGTACATGGAATTTGTGCCTCGTCCGATGTTGCACAGGAAGCCTGAAAAGGTAACGCATTGGACCAATTGCAACGGCGGCTGGCGGGCAAAGGTGAGGCATATCTGGGTGCCAGACAACGATCTTACCGTTCTGCACCTGTGGGTACTGAGCACGCACCTCCGTTCGGAGCAGCTCCAGCCAAGCCCACTTAGCTGAGAAGGGGTCATTCAGAAGGGGGTTCCTGGGCACCCATCGGGCCATTCGATGGTCTCCATTCCAGCCAATGCAGCTAACGTGTCCACTGATTCATTAAGCGGGTGTTGTGCATGTGCTTGAGCATGTGATAACCGTGCTGCATGGCGGCATATGAGCAAGTGGTAGAGCGAACGCAATCAGCTAGCTAGCCCACCAATATCAGCTATATCCCACTGCCCCTGTGCCCCATTCATGGCAACAACGCTATCAAAATGAAAATGAAAGAGTACGTCACGAAAGGGAGATTCCATAGCCCAAGGCATGACCCATATAAGTGCGAGAGCTTCTGAGACCAAGCTTATGTGAGTAGGCAAGGCAGCAAATGCTTCTCTAGCAGAAGACCCAGCCAGGCGTGTCCAAAAATGCATAGCACCACCACGAGAAACGACCAAGGCACAAAAGGCCCATGCAGGAAAGACCGATGAGGTTCCCCCACTTCCATTCGTAAAGATCTCAACCCTCTCCAGATCAAAACTCCAAGGCGACAAGTCCTGAAAGAATTCCAGAGTACATTGCAAGAGGTAGTCCTGAAAGATTCCACCGCTGAAAGAGAACATCTGACACGTGCGGCTCTGGCACGAGGTCAGCCCCGACAGCGCCTGTCAAAAAGCGACCATTCCGGTCGACAGGCCGACCGATTGGAGTGGGCGTTAAAGCGTTGAAGTTGCCCCCCCCCCTTTAGTTGCTTCGATAGGCCCGTTTTGAAACGCAATACGTCCCGTGTTCAAGACGTCCGTGTCAATACGTTGCGTGTTGGCTCCACGTATTGGGCCGCGTTTTGGCGGATGTATCGCGTCGGACCTACGTTTTGAAGCTTACGCGTTGAGCTCCGTATCGATACGTTGCGTGTTGCGTGTTGCGTATCGGGGCAATTCAGGTCCTGTTGCGCAGCTCGTGGGCCAGTCGTGCCAACATTCCTTTGCGCAATGTTCATGCCACCACTGGAGCCTGCTGCACTGATCGCAAGGAGGGGCTGACCTCGAAACAAAGCTGCTGGCGGGGGCTGCTGACCTGTGCCATGTGCCATGGCAAGGACCAAGGCGTCGTGCTTGCCCTGGACCGATGCCATCTGCTGCTGGTCTGGTGCTGCTGTGGCTGCTGCTGCCTCTGCCTGCCCACTGGCAACGGCTGTTGTACAGCCTCCTCTTCTCCTCCCTCCGCGACGGTGTCCTCCTGCATGTTTGCATCTGTCGGCGCCGCTGCCAAGATCTCCTCGTATGCAAATTGGTGTCGATTGGCACTCTGTCGCAAACGTATGTTGGACATCCAACTTGACCAATCTCTCCTTCGTCTCCTTTCTGTGCACCGTCTCCTGCCGACGCACCGCTCCCTTCAAAGCTTCCTCTTGTCGAGCAAACCTGTTGTTTGCGCGGACTGCACAAGTGAATCGCCGTCAAAACTGCTGCATACCAAGACCTTTCCTCGTGAGCCATCTTTCCAGCTCTCTCTCTCTCTCTCTCTCTTGCAAGCGAATGGTCCCAGCCAAGATGCGCAGCTGGTTGCGACAGTCTGAAATATACTCCTTTCTCTCCGCCTCCGACGCATTTGGCGGCAACTCTGCAGGGAAAATGATCGTGCATCCTGGCATCCGAGGGTAGCGCTGGAATGATTCCCAATCTTTTGACATGACTGTTGTTTACACCTTCGCGCTCCGACAATCCTTTGACATGACTAATGCGAATGCTCTCGATCTGCACTCTGATGACGATGGGAAAGCGTATCCACCACCACTCGCACGGGAACCACTGTTCAACAAGATAGATCCTGGCGGAGGCGGGGCTCTCGACATGTCCGATTGGGCGTCCGACGTTGTCATCTGAGTCTGGCCCTTGCCACGAGCCTTCGTCCCCTGCTGCCAGCCATGTCGAGTCCGAACTCCAGTCTTCATCCTCACCTCGCCGCACATCCGACACGTGGTATGTTCTGGGAAACTGGACGTGGAGCAAGCAGTACACAGCCACGGCAAAGACGACATATTGAACGAATGGGAGGAGGTGGAGGAGGACGGAGGGACTCGGGGCGACACATATTCAAAGCGAAGACCCAAGACCGCAGTGGAGCAAACCATGCAAAATGCTCGCTTGGTGCTTACTCATGGTCCACGTGTTGCCACGTGCACTTGTTCGCAATTTGCTTCTGACAGGGATGGCAGGTGGTGCCCGCAATGCTTCTGGTTGGCGGCCGGTCGAGTTGGCGAGGGGCGTTGATCGATGTGGAGCAGCTTCCCCGAAGGGAAAGAACGGAGTTGAAAAGGAGACCGATCTAAACCATTGGCGCCAAGAGGGCTGGCGGGATTCTGGTCAAAACGCACTCCAGCAGAGGTCTGGGGCTTGATGCTTTCACGTGGAGGGAAGATCAGGAGGAGGAGGAGGAGGAGGAGGAGAAGAATAAGAAGAAGAAAGATGGGGAGGAGGGCGGAGGAGGGGGAGGGGGAGGAGGAAGAAGAGGCAGCGGAAGAGGAGGGAGGAGGAGGAGGGAAATGAGGAGGAGGAGGAAAAGGAGGAAGAGAAGGAAGGCGAGTGGGTAAGCGGGTGGTCGGATGTCGTTGCACGCCTTCGGACTGGAGGTCGCGGATTTTTTCGGAGGCCCGTGGAGGTTTTTGGAGAGGGGGGGAGGCGTAGGGGGGGGAGGCGTCGGAAAACGCCAGCTGTTCACCTCTACACCTTTTAGGTGTCATTTCCTTGCGTTTGTCTTGCCGCGAGGACTTGTGCTTGAGACGTGCTGGGGGGGAGGCCTGGGCACGGATTTCGGGTGGCTTTGGGGGTCATTGGCCAGCTGGGGGTTGGGACGGAGCCCCCCCAAAACGAGCCCTGCGTCCGTCAAAACCACTTCGGAGGGAAATTCTCAGGCCAGTCCTGAGCCCGGGACGGGCCTGGCGGTGATCGGCGTCCGTGCATTGTTGGTGCCCTGCGAAGCAGGAGATCGCTTTTTGTCCACTGGCGATGCGGTGGGGGCGTTCGTTCAGGAGTGTGCCCATGAGGCTACAGACCTTGGAGGATTCCTTAACTGGTGGGGGAGGCGGCGAGATCCATTGCCGATCCACGATTGGAGTTCCACCGGCTCCCAGACCCTGGATTCCTCATCTCAGGGTTCCCTGTCCATTGCCCCACCCGTAACGGGCGTGACAAGGAGGGGAGGGAGGGAGGGAGGGAGGGGGCTGGTCACGTCACGATTCGCGCCTGGGCCGCCTGGGAATGCTTGAGAATAATGATTCCTAGACGGCGCCGGCGCGAACCGTGACGTGACCAGGGGGGGGGGAGGAAGAGGGGACCGGGGCCAGTCACGGGCGCTTCCGCGAGCGAAGAAAGCGGGCTCCAGGTTCGCTCACCACCGAGTGCTCCGTGGGGCTCGACCAGCTCGAGCTCTGCGGCGAGAGCCCTCTCTTCCACGACCTGTTCGTGGAGAACGTGGACGGCTCGCTGGTACCAGTCCCTGTGCGCATACTCAACCTCATGCAGGTCGGGCAGCAGGGCTCGAGCTAAACGGTGCTTGAGCGAGTTCGTGGACCGTTTTCGTGTTGATCTCGCTTCGCAGCAGAGGCAGAACGAAGACAGAACGAAGGAAGACGAAAACAAAACGAAAACTGAACACAGAACGAGAGCGAATGAGAACGAAAACCAAACAAAAACAACACGAAAACGGAAGCGAAAACGAGAACAAAAGGAAACGAAGGAAAACGAAAACAAAACGAAGGCGAAAAGCACTGTTTAACTCGAGCCCTGTCGGGCAGTGCCCGAGGTTGATCACCACCGGGGGGGGGCGCGCCCAGCTCCTCCCGAGGGTCCGGGGCCCGCAGGAGGCGGGAGGATCTAGGATCGAGGAGCTTTTGCGGGGCGTCCTTGGGCGCTTTCGTGGTCCTGGGGATGGGTGTGGGGCGCCCTGTGGGGTCCGCCTCCTCCCCCTCCTCCGCCGCCGCCGCCGCCTCCTCCTCCTCCGCCGCCTCCTCCTCCTCCTTCTCTTCCTCCTCCTCCTCCTCCTCCTCCTCCTCCTCCTCATCCTCCTCCTCCTCGCCCTGGTTCCTCCTCCTCCTCCGCCTCCGCATCCTCCTCCGCCGCCTCCTCCTCCGCCGCCTCCTCCTCCTCCTTCTCCTCCGCCGCCTCCTCCTCCTCCGCCGCCGCCGCCGACGCCTCCTCCTCCTCCTCCTCCCCAGGAGCTGGCGACCCCACCACCCAATCAGTGGTGACCCCCCTCACAGCCCTGCCCGGACAGGGCCAGAAGAGGCCCAACCTCAACAGGATTTGAAGGCCACAGGCATGGAGCGGACTGTCCATGTCGAAGGTCCGCGCGGACCCCTCCGCAGCGGCGCTGGGACCCGCCTCCCCGCTTCCCCGCCCCACCTTGGACGGCGCGCTCCGCGCGCCGGGGGGGAGCGTGGGAAGGGGGGCCCAGCGCCGATCAGGGGCAGCGGCAGGGAGGCATACGAGGCGTTCCAAGAGGGGCCTCGCCCTCGAGGGTGGAAGGAGTTGCCATCGCTTCGGCAGCGGAAGGCGTCGACAGTAACACGGCGGCGGCGGCGGAAGCTCGGCGGAAGCCGGCGGAAGCAAGAGTCGACCTCCCAAGAGATGGCAACACTTTTTTTGCTCGGGGTTGTCGGAATCGGCCATGTAGGCGCAAGGAGGGGGAGGCATCGCCCTCCGATCGCCCATGCATGGCCGATGCGGGGCCTGGAGGTCCGCCCCGCCCACGAGGCTCTCGCTGGGGGCCTATCGCCGATGTGTCGACGATGCATCGCCGATTCAAGCTCGATGTCCCCCCCTCGCCCTGAGCCGGTCCCCCCATGTCGTTGCCTCTCGGCCGAGACGGGAAATTCGCGCAGACCTCCGAACATGTATTGTCATGTCTTCGCATCGGTCTCCTGAGGATACCCGAGGATCTCGGCGACGACGTGTTCGTGCGCCGCTTTACCTTGTGCGACTCCCTCACGGGAAGGGAGGGCGGCCCAGAAGTTTACCAGGATCCGCGGGGGTATTCGCCTGTTGCCTTCCGCTGGGCCGCGCACATGGCGGTGCAGGTGCGCTTGAGACCAGACAGCGACGGTCAGATCTACGTGCCCGTGCTGTCAATCGCCTATGCCGACAAGAGGGAGGCGGGCACGGGCGACGGGCCTGTAGCCCCTGTCAGCTTCAAGGTCGAATATTCCATGGAGACCGGCTCCTACTGGACGGTCGTTGTTGTGCTCTTCTCGATCATGCTTGTCGTGATGGTGGCTGTCGCGGCTTTCCGCGTGTATATGATCTCGCTTCGGTACCCGACGATGCCAGCGGTCATGGCCGCGGGCGACCCACAGATCTTCGTGCCCAAGGCCGTCCTGATAGGTCACGTGCTGACGGCCACTTGCTTCTCCCTGCTCTTCTGGTTCCACTTCTCGCAGGCGATGTACTGGTACGTCCTGTTCAAGGCCCAGTCCGTGCCCCACGTGCTGCTGCCTTCGGCCTTCGAGGGCGACCAGTACGAGCCGCACGACGTGCTCATCATCCTCGGCTTCCTGCTGGGCTTTGCCACGGTCGCCCTCGGCCTCTTCCGGCAGCTGAAGGTCTTCATCTTCCTCGTCGACTGGGAGCGTGGCCGCCAGCAGCCCGAACTCCCTCCAGGTCAGCACCGCCTGACCCAGCCCCATCCCCACCGGGCCGTGGCATCTCGGCCCCACCCTCCCACCACCCCAGCGCTAAGTCGGGCGTCTATCTCTACAGGAGGAATATTCAAGATAGTCAAAAATAGTATGGGGGCGATCTTCTCTCTGAGCATCTTTTATACTTTTTCATGTGTCATCCAAGATCCGCCCGTAGGAGGACACGCCCGACCCCACCCCAGCTGGGGACAGGCCCCTCGAAGCCCGCAGGGAACAGCCTGGATCCCCATCTCGGGGGGTCGATCGGCCTGCGGGAACCAGGCCACGCGCCAGCCCCGGATGCCCGACGCGGCGGCAGGAGCACGACAGCGCAAGAGCTCACGGTGGGAGCCCCAGGCCCCGTCTCCCTGCTGCGCCTGTCGAGCCGCGAGGGCCCCGGGGCCCGCCGCGGGGCGGGAACGCCTGGTGTGAGAGAGATGCCCCGCCAGGAGCTCGGGCCAGAGGTCGGTTCCGCGATGCTCGCCGCACGCGGACGACGTGCATGCACCGTACCGCGCTGGACCCCTCCCGAGGCGTCGACGACGCTCGACCCCCAGGAGCGGAGGGGTGCATGGCTTCTCGGCCCTCGGGGCCGAGAGGCGATGCACCACGACGCGCTGGAGCGAGGCGCCTCCAGGGGAGTCCAAGCATGGCACGGTGCACGAGCGCCGTTCCCGCACCCAGACATCCGCCGATGTGATTTGTCCGATCCACGGCCCCAGAGGGCCCGACCCCTTCCCAGGACGTAGTTTCTCGTCCCGGATCCGTTTTTGATGGTCCCCGGGCCCGATAGCCAGCCCCAGGGGCCGAAATACGGGGACCAGCGCCAGATGGAAAAAGTCACGTCCTCGGATCTCTGGGTGCCACCAGGGTCGCCGCCGCACCAGGCCCCCGAGTACATGCAGCAGCGGCCCGGCGGCGCCCTGGGGCCAGGGCCGTACGGGCAGCGCCCCCCGGCGGAGCACATGCCTCAGGCGGTGGGCGCGCCCCTCCTCGCGCCCAGCGGCGGCCAGCCGCCCCGGGCGCCGCTGGACGCCCCGCCACCCGACCAGGAGCCGTTTCGGTGCGGTGGCGTCGCAGTCGTAAGTCGGGCATGTCCCTCTACAGGAGGAAAAGTCCAAAAATAGTCTGGGGATTTCTGTTTTCTCTTATGTTGTCCAAACCGTCTGTTGTGTTGGGTCCTCCCTTTGAAGAGACAGCGCCCCGCGTCCTCACTCCCGATGCCCCCTCCCTCCTCCCATCCCTGCCTCTGCTCTCCGCATGTCCACCATGTCGGCACGCCCCTCTGACGCTTCGTGGCCCCATAGGGAGCCCCACCGAGGGCCCCAGCGGCAGTTTCGCAGGGCGCCACCGCACCCATGTCGGCACACCCCTCACGCGCTTCGTGGCCCCATAGGGAGCTCCACCGAAGGCCCCAGAGGCAAGTTTCGCATGGCGCCATCGCACCCATTTCGGCACACCCCTCAAACGCTTCGTGGCCCCACAGGGTGCTCCACCGAAGGCCCCATTGGCAGGGTTCGCATGGCGCCACCGCACCCATGTCGGAACACCGCTCACACGTTCTGTGGCCCCATAGGGAGCTCCAGCGAAGGCCCCAGCGGCAGGGTTCGCATGGCGCCACCGCACCCATTTCGGCACACCCCTCACACGCTTGGTGGCCTCAGAGTAAGCTCCAACGAAGGCCCCAATGGCAGGATTCGCACGGCGCCACGGCACCTATTTCGGCACACCCCTCACACGCCCCGTGGCCCCATAGGGAGCTCCACCGAAGGCCCCAGCGGCAGGGTTCGCATGGCGCCACCGCACCCATTTCGGCACACCCCTCACACGTTTCGTGGCCCCACAGGAGCTCCACCGAGGGCCCCAGTGGCAGCTTTCGCATGGCGCCACCGCACCCACTTCGGCACACCCCTCAAACGTTTCGTGGCCCCATAGGGAGCTTCACCGAAAGCCTCAGTTGCAGGGCTCGCATGGCGCCGCCGCACCAATTTCGGCACCCCTTTCACGCAAATTGTGGGCCCGCAGGGAGCTCCACCCAAGGCGGGGCTCACAATTGCGGTACTCACAGTTGCATATGTTAGGGTCCTTCGCCCGGGTAATTGAGATTTCCCCTACCATCCTGTGGTGTCGGGTCTTCGCTTTGAAGAGACAGCGCCCCGCGTTTCCTATCTTCTCCTCCGCCTCCCCCTCCTCCTTCCTCCCCGCCCTTGCCTCTGCCATCCCCATGTTTCCGTTTCGGCATAGCATGGCATAGCCACTACAGCGCTTCGTGGCCCCATATGCAGTTCCGTCGAAGGCCCCAGTGGCATGGCTCACGTGGCGCCACCGCACCCTTGTCGGCAAACCCCTCACGCGTTTCGTGGCCCCGTGAGGTAACTCCACCGACGGCCCCAGTGGCAGGGTTGGCATGGCGCCACCGCACCCATTTCAGCACACACACACACACACACACACACACCCTTCACACGCTTCGTGGCCCCACAGGGAGCTCCAGCGAAGGCCCCAGCGGCAGGGTTCGCATGGCGCCACCGCACCCATTTCGGCACACCGCTCACACGTTCTGTGGCCCCATAGGGCGAAGGCCCCAGTGGCAGGGTTCGCATGGCGCCACCGCACCCATGTCGGCACACCCCTCGCACGTTCCGTGGCCCCATAGGGAGCTCCACCGACGGCCCCCAGTGGCAGGGTTCGCATGGCGCCACCGCGCCCATTTCGGCACCCCCACACACACACACACACACACACACACACACACACACACACACACACACACATACATACACACACACACACACACACACACACTTCGTGGCCCCATATGGAGATCCACCGAAGGTCCCGTGGCAGGGTTCGCATGGCGCCACCGCACCCATTTCGGCACACCATTTCGGCACAACTCTCACACGCTTCGTGGCCCCACAGGGAGCTCCACCCAAGGCCCCAGTTGCAGGGTTCGCATGGCGCCACCGCACCCATTTCGGCACACCGCTCACACGTTCTGTGGCCCCATAGGGAACTCCACCGAAGGTCCCGGGGCAGGGTTCGCATGGCGCCACCGCACCCATGTCGGCACATTCCTCACACGCTTCAGCCCCATAGGGAGCTCCACCGAAGGCCCCGGTGGCAGGGTTCGCATGGCGCCACCGCACCCATGTCGGCACATCCCTTTCACGCTTCGTGGCGCCACAGGGAGCTCTACCGAAGGCCACATTGGCAGGCTTCGCATGGCGCCACCCCACCTATTTCGGCACACCCCTCACGCGTACAGGGAGCTCCACCGAAGGCGGGGCTCACAACTGCGGCACTCACAATTGCATATGGTTGGGTCCTTCGCCATGATAACTTGATTATGTTTTGACTACGTTGCACTTTCTTCCAAAATCCGCCTGTCGGAGGACAAGCCCGACCTAATCGCAGTCGGTGGCGTTGCCGTCAGTTGTGTCGCAGTCGGTTGCGAGCACATGATTAAGAAACCTCCTCCCGAAAAGCTGGGCCAGCGTTTCCTGGCCAGCTTGCCGGGAAGCAGGCCAAGTTTCTCGAGCACGTTCGCCGCTTCAGCGTGAACAACAGACAGTCGCCCAGGCTTTGTTTTAGCAATGTCCGGGAAGCCGGCCCCGTGTTTCTCAAGGGATACGTTTCTTGATCTCATGTTCGGCTGTAGTCGGTTATTGTGTCGTTGCTGCGTCGCTGCGCCCGCCTAGGCTGCCTGCGGCCTGCCGATGTCGGGCGGTTCGGATTTCGCGCTGTCGGTTCGGCCGGTTTCTCGGTGTTGCTGTCGCCGCGCACGGCCTCGATTTCGACTCTATCGATTCGAATCGATCCGATTTCGGAGATTTTTATTCGAGATGTCGATTTCGATTCGGTTCAGCTCCGAATTCCGGCCGCGGTTTGGGTTTCCTTGTGCATGTTTCGATTCGGGCCGCTGGACGTCGATTTCGATGCCTTCCGATCTGCCTGCCGATTTATGCCGATTCAGCGCATTTCGATGCCTTCCGATCTGCCTGACGATTTCTGCCGATTCAGCGATTCTGCCGATGTTCCGATTCGATCTGGGGTCATGACGCCCAATCAGGGCGTCTCGGCGTGGCGCAGCATCTTCATCTCGGGGAACAAATAATGGCATAAACATAAACTTTCGGATGTCCGCGCGGATTTCTTGGATCGGCGTTGGAGCCCCCTGGCGGCGCCTCCCGCGCCGCCCCTGGAACGCTCCGCGCGCCAGGGTGTTCAGCGCCGATCCAAGAAATCAGCGCGGACCTCCGGAAATCTATGTTTATGCCAGTAGTTGTCCCCCGATCATCTGCAACGAGCTCAACGAGCGCCTCGTGTCGACGAGCACGTCGTCGTTCGTGACGTGGCTAGTGATGGTGGGGCTGCTGGAGGGCGCGGGCCTGAAGAACGGGGCTCGCTGGTACCCGCGATTCTCGGGCGACGAGGCCATGATGACCGCGCAGTACAATCCCTTCCTCCAGTTCGGGCTGAGCGGCTTTATCTGGATCCTGACCCTGTTTGCCCAGCTCCTCGTCCGCCGCGTGGCGAGCATCTTCATCGGCGACGACCTGATCGACTTCATCGACCTGTGCTCCGTCTCGAACGTGTCTGTAGTGTTGATGGACGAGCCCTTCCACGGGTACTACATCCACGGCCGGGCACCCAGCAACAACAGCGACGTCTGCCACACCGACTTGGCCAGGGCTCTGGCCAGGGAGGGCAAGGGGATCGGCTTCGGCAGGGGCCTCACCGCGGACGACTGCCAGACCTTCGAGATGTTCCTGCCCCCTGAGCTGGGGGTACAGGGCCCCACGTCCGCAGTCAACTTCCGCAGGGAGCTCCTGAGAATCTTCAGCGACGTTCGCACCACTGACGCGGAGGTGGCCCAGCGCAGACCAGCCCGGCCCACCGAGGCAGACATCGCGGAGATGTCGCGGCACCGTTGCTCCGTGCAGGCGCTGATCGACTCCTTCGTCCACGCCGTCATCAGGAACGTGGACGAGGTGGTGCGCTACCGCTCCTCCATGGACGCGTTCCTGGGCATGCCCCCAAAGGGCGGGGTGGCGGCGCTGCGGTCGCCCGTGTTCTTCAGGGACCAGGACGGGCCCTCCTTCCCGAACGGCGTGGGGTGGTCTTCATGCCTGGCCCACGGCGCGGAGGTCAGGTTCATGGGCGTGGGCCTGCCGACCGGCTTCGAGTGGAACATGCTGCTGCTGGAGTTCATGCTCTTCTCGGTCGTCTGGCGCTTCTACGGCTCGATCTACCTGGCCTCCGCGCTGGGCTTCGTGCTCAACAGGCTCGTGATGGCGGTGTACGGCGAGGCTGGCAAGGCGCAGCTGGCGCACACGTCCATCATCAACCCGATGTTCCTGATATGACCAGCCCAGCCCACCCGCGCAGACGACGTGGGGGAGGGGCGGCGTGGCCCGGGTGTGCTGGTGGACTGGTGTGCCGCGCAGTCTTCGGGTCGGACGGGAGGGGGGGATTTCAGTCGGGCATGTCCCTCTGCAGGGGGGAAATTCAAAAATAGTCAAAACATGGTCTGGGGACGATTGTTTGACTATGTTTGACTGCTTCTGCATGTTTTGGGGGTATTTTTGTTTTTCATCCAAAATCCGCCTGTAGGAGGAAATGCACCCAAGGGTGGATCAGAAAGAGGGGGTGTATAGCGAAATCTGCGGCACGCAACCCATTTGGGCCCCGCCGCTGAAAGGCCCTGCAGAAATCAGCTGCGTGAGCTGCTTCGCTGGTACCCCATTTGGTATCCCCCCCTCCCGTCCGCCCCGAACTCTGGCGGCGAATGCTGGATCGTGTTGCAGCTGGGAGCGGTGTTGGCTCCTGCGGGGAGCCGTGCATGTTTGTGAGCGTTGCCTGGCCAACCCTCCAGAAAAGCACTCGGTGAGAGCTCAGCCTTCCCCCCATCCTCCTTCTCCGAGCGCTCGCCGCGAGAGCAGCACGGCCGAGCCCCCCGAAGAGAGACCCCGCTGCGGCGTGCACTGCGCTGTATTGAGGCTCTCCCGGGCCTCGGGAAGAAGTGCCCCGCGCCCGCGCCGATGTCCCTCGCCGATTCCCTGCGCCCGACTGCCCCTCAGTCCCTTTCTGCTGTCCACGCGCGCGGGCGATGATCTCCTCTGCCAGCCCTGTCCCCGACTCCGGCAGCGTCCCTGGCCCTGCGCGGCTCCCGACACCTTTTGTCATCGCCGCTGGAGGAGGAGGAGGAGGAGGAGGAGGAGGAGGAGGAGGAGGAGGAGGAGGAGGTGACGGAGGACAAAGACTGCCAGCTTAGAGGGGGAGGTGGAGGTGGAGGTGCCCCCCTTCCCTCCTTCGAAACGGCCCCCCCACTGGCGTCCGGGGGGCCCCGCCCACGCGCCGGGCCGGGCTCCGCGCGCGGGGCCCCGCGCTGGCGCGGCGGCGGAAGGAAGCCGCCGATACGGCTGCGAGAGTGAGGTGGAGGCGGAGGAGGAGGTGGAGGTGAGGATGGGGGTGGAGGAGGTTGAGATGGAGGAGGCAGGGGAGGAGGTGGAGGTCGGGATGGAGGTGGAGGAGGCGGAGATGGAGGCGGAGATGGAGGAGGAGGAGGAGGAGGAGGAGGAGGAGGTGGAGGCGGAAGGGGGGAGGTGGAGGTGGTGGAGGTGGAAATGGACATCAGAACTGGACATCAGAACAGACGCTGGGCAGGCCGACCCCACATGGGGGATGGCTGGGGGGCCCGCCCCACGAAGCTCCGACGGGCCCGACGGGCCTATGGGGCCGCATCGCTGGGAGGTGGAGGCGGGTGGAGGTGGAGGAGGAGGAGGTAGAAGAGGAGGAGGAGGAGGAGGAGGAGGAGGAGTAGGAGGTGGAGGTGGAGGCGGAAGGGGGGAGGTGGAGGTGGTGGAGGTGGAGGTGGACATCAGAACTGGACATCAGAACAGACGCTGGGCAGGCCGACCCCACATGGGGGATGGCTGGGGGGCCCGCCCCACGAGGCTCCGCCGTGCCCGACGGGCCTATGGGGCCGCATCGCTGGGAGGAGGAGGAGGTGGAGGAGGAGGAGGAGACGGAGGAGGAGGAGGAGGAGACGGAGGAGGAGGAGGGGGGTGAGGAGGAGGAGGAGGAGGAGGAGGAGGAGGAGGGGGAGGAGGAGGAGGAGGAGGAGGAGGAGGAGGAGGTGGAGGAGGTAGAACAGGAGGAGGAGGAGGAGGACCAGTGTAAACCCAAGAGTCATCAACGATGTTGGAGTAAGCTCTCCCTCCAAGCTCCCTCTTCATAGGCCCCTACAACGGCTCACCATCGAGGGAACTGCATCGTTGGACGACACCCGTTTGAAGACCCTGAAGTTTGTCAAAACATTGTCCTCGGGATTCCAACGCCACGGATCAACCTGACTGTTGCGTCTTGACGGTCCTGAATCGTGCCAGAACGCCATTCCTAGGACTTCAGCACAGAGCACCAACGTAACTGCTGAACCCGCGTAAACATGAATCCTTCCAAAACACAATTTCTGGTACGCTGATGATGGGAATCAGTGAAAGTTTCGAACCTGCTGTACACGAGTGCACGCGGCGCTAAGGTGAGAGCCACATGTTGAAAAGGAACCGCCCTCAATCCATAACACTCTTGCAATGTATGCTTATTGTTTCATATATGTATGTGTATGTGTATATATATAAATGTAAACACACACAAAAAAAAGACAAGAGAACAAAAAAAAAAAACAACAACAAAAAAAAAAAACAACAAAAAAAAAACAAAAAAAAAACAAACAAAAAAAAAAAAAAAAAAAAAAAACGAATGTGCAACGCGCTAAGGCGAGAGCCACTTTTTGAAAACGATCCGCCCTCAATCCGCTAAACTCTTGCAATTTTGTACAGCGAATGTGCGCCGCGCGAAGGCGAGAGTCACAGTTTGAAGACCACTCGCCCTCAATTCGTGAAACTCTTGCAAATGTTTGAAACGAATGTGCGCCGCGCTAAGGCGAGAGCCACATCTTGAAAACCACCCGCCCTCCATATGTGAAACTGTTGCCAATTCCAGCTTCAGAGTCATAAACGGTGAGGAAGTCCCAGGCGGAACGCCCGGCCCGCCCTAGCTTGCCCCGGGGCGCGACAGGGAGAAGTTGTGTATTAGGACAAGGAATGGAGGAGGAGGAGGAGGAGGAGGAGGAGGAGGAGGAGGAGGAAAAGGCGGAGGAGAAGGAGGACGAGGTGGAAAAGGTGGAGGAGGAAGTGGAGGTGGGCGCCCTCCGGCTGTCCTCGGCCCCTGCGAAGGCGCAGCCGGGCCCGCCACGCCCCCGCACTCTCCGCAGCAATCCCCTTTGGGTGCTCGGGCTCCGCCTCCCGCTTGTTTCCTCGGCACGGTCCAGCTTCGTGGGAAGAGGGGATTCGGCGGCAGGCGAGGGGGGAAGTGAGAAGGAGAAGGCCTTCTCGGAAGGCCGCGGGGCTTCTCAGAAGCCCGCCGGCCTTCTGAGAGGCTTTCTGCGTCGTCGGGGAAGTTTCAGAGAACTTGTCCGAAGGCCAGGGGACTGCAGAGCCTTCTGAGAAGGCGCCCCTTCTCACTTCACCCCCGCGCTGGCCGCCGAGAGATAGCGGGCCCAGCGACGATCCAAGACATCCGCGCAGATTTCCAAAAGTGTACGTGTATGCCGCTTTCTGTTCCTCCAAAGCCGGCCGTCGCCGATCCGCGCGGAGTATCCACGAGTCGAGGATGATCAAGGTTGACGATGACCAAGATCGACACTGACGTTTCCATGGTCATAGTCATCGTTTTCTTTCATTCCACAGCTTCCCTGGCTGCCCCCGATCTGGTGCTTGCTCTGCGGTGTCAGGGGCGTTCAAGAGGGGAGTGAGGGCTGGGGGGAACCGAAATGCGCGTGCGAAGACATGTTTCTCCCTTGTATTACTCTCGGTGTCGTGTTACGTTGGTTTGATCACCCTAAACTTTCTTGTTCTCTCGCTCCCATCGGCAGTTCGCTTTGCTACTCTACGCCCTCTAGGGCCACATTGTGTTTCCGCTTCTTTCGGCACCTTCTCATCCGCATTGGCGGCTGCCTTCAGTTGTTCGCCCTGGTCTAAGTTGGCGTTTGTTAACTTCTTTGATTATCGCACGATTCTCGCACATGGTTGGGTTCTCGTTTTGAAAAGAGCAGTGGGGTGCCAACTCCTTCTCCTTCTCCTCCCGCCCTCTGTCCCCCTCTCGCCTGCCTGCACCTGTCTGCTTGCATCCCTTGCGGGTGCTGCGAAGTGTGAAACTGTGAAACTGTCGCCGCTTTCGAGGGCTGCTGGGGAAGACAGCATAGCGGGTGCCGACGGCAAATTCAAATTAGACCTCGACATCCATTGGGGTCTGCGAAGTGCAAGGTTGTCGCCGCTTTTGAGGGTCGTTGGGGGGCCAGCATAGTGGGCGCCGACGGCAGATTTAAATTAGGCCTCGACATCCTCGGGGGTTGCAAAGTGTGAGATTGTCGCCGCTTTCAAGGGCTGCTGGAGGGACCAGCATAGTGAGTACCGTCGGCAGATTCGAATTTGAAGGGCTAGGGAGTGTGACATTTTCGCCAGTTAACGAGGGCTGCTGGGGGGGGAGCAGCATAGTGGGTGCAGACGGCAGATTCGATTTATATTTCGACATCCCTTGGGGACTGCGAGATATGAAACGGTCGCCACTTTCGAGGGCTGCTGGGGGGGGCAGCATACTGGGTGCCGACGGCAGATGCAAATAAATTAGACCTCGACATCTTTTAGGGGGGATCTGCGAAACTGTCGCCACGTTCGAGAGCTGTGTGGGGGGGCAGCATGTTGGGTGCCAACTGCACTTTCACGCTAGACCTCGACATCCCTGGGGGGGTGCGATATGCGAAACTGTCGCCAGTTTCGAGGGCTGCTGGGGGGCAGCATAGCAGGTGCCGACGGCATATTCAAAATTGACCTCGACATCCTTGGGGGGGCTGCGAAGTGCAAGGTTGCTGCCATTTTACAGTGTTGCGGGGGCGGTACATCATGGTGGTTGCCGACGGCAGATCCAAATTAAACCTCGACGTTCTTTGGGGCAGGGGGGCGATTGGCGAAACTGTCGTTGCTTTTGAGGGCTGCTGGGGGGGGCAGCAGAATAGGTGCCGACGGCAGATGCAAATTAAACCTCGACGTTCCTTGGGGGAAGGGAGCTGGGATCGGCGAAATCGTTGCCACTTTCGAGAGCTTTTGGGAGAAGCAACATGGTGGGCGCCGACGGCCGATACAAACTAGACCTAGACTTTTCTCGCGGGTTGCGATCTGCGAAATTGTCGCCACTTTTGAGGGCTGCTGGGGGGGCAGCATGGTGGGTGTCGGCGGTGGATTCAAATTAGACTTCGGCATCTTGGGAAGGGGTTGCGAAGTGTAAGACTGTCGCCGTTTTCGAGGGCTGCTTGGGGGGGGCAACATTTTGGGCGCCGACGGTGGATGCAAATCAGACCCAGACACCCATACACCCCTGGGTGGGGGCGATTAGTCTCGGATGCTACACATCCTCCTCTCGCCTCCTCCTCTGTCCTCCTCATCCTCTTCATTTCCTCAGGTGGAAACCGGTTCCTACCTTTTACGATTTGGTTAATTCGCGGGACGCGCGGGAGCCATCCACGTGAAAGTTGTCGCAATTTCGTGGCCCCCCGCTCCCGGGGAGCGTTGCCCGCCGCTCCCGAGAAGCGCTCTGGGGCGTCGATGTACTGTTGGGCACGCAGGCGCTTTCCGATCTGAGGTTTTCCCCTCGCCACCGCTGCGTTGTTGCTCAGGTCCCTGGGGGGGTGCGAAGTGAGAAACTATCGCCTCTTTTGTAGGCTCATCGGGGGGCGCAACACAGTGGGTGCCACGCAGATCCAAACGGGACCTCGCCATCCCTTGGGGGCTGCGACGTGCGAAACTGTCGCCACTTTCGAGGGCTGCTGGGCGGCACAGTGAGGCCCCACGCAGATCCAAACGGAACCTCTGTTCTGCGAGTCGGCCACGCACACTTCGCACGATATAGATATCCGCCTTGCACCGTCTCTTGTAGTGTTGATGTCACACTATTGTCGGCACACCTTGTTTCATCCCTTGGTGCCGATGGGATGGGTACGTCGCAGGGCAAGTTCACGCCGCAACGGGCACCGTTCTTCATGCCTGGTCAACGCCGGAGGAAGGGTGGGGGGGTCACGGCCAGGGCCACGACATCTTCCAGATCCACTGGCCCCCCTCATCATTTTTCGATACGTTCCCTGGCTCCCCTCGCCTGCGCGCGTGCCTCAGGCCACGATATTGTTTTCCCCACTTCCCTGCCACGCCCGCACTTCGGACGGCCTCCGACGGCAGGTTCGCGCCGCGTCGACGCGGCGGCGGCCCCACCGAGGACCTTCGAGGCTGAACGGTGCCAGAAGCCCTGGATCGACCAGTATCGAACGGCCTTCGGGATTGCACGATCCGCGCGGTGTCAAAGTCCAGCGCGCAGGTCGTCCCGACGCGGGCTTGCCGCGCGCCGCCGTCCAGTTCCTTGGTTCGGCCACGTCCCAGCTCTTCCTTGATCGATCCCTGTCCGCCTCATGTCTGCTACACTGTTGGGGGCCAACTCTCAGGTCTCCTTGCAAAAGACACTGTGGCACGAGGACGGACCTGTGCACTTTCAGCGAAATTCACGGACTGATGGACCGGCGCTTTGCATCTAGATTACTATTGTTACTGATTGCGCTCTTGTAGAATATGAGAGTTGATGTCGTTATCCGGGCGGGCCAAATACGAAAGACAGATTGTGGTTCATGTTCAATGCGTGGTGAGATACGCATTGACCGGTGCCATATCGATCTGGCGTGCAGCTTCGGAGCATACAACGGTATCGAGGCGCATATGTGGTGCAGGATGTGTTCATTGGTCTCTACTCTCGTGCAGGTAGCTATTTGCAGCAGGGCTTGAGAGTCGTCGCCGTCTCGGCCACCATTCACAGTTTCAGCTGTGAAAATTCATGAGCTCGAGGGGCGAGCCAAAGGAGGAGGAGGAGGAGGAGGAGCAGCAGAAGGAGGAGGAGGAGGACGAGAAGGAGGAGGAGGACGACGACGACGAAGACGAGGACGAGGAGGAAGAGGAGAGAAAGGAGGAGAGAGGAGGAGAGAGGAGGATGAGGAGGAGAAGGAGGAGGAGGAGTAGGAGGAGGAGGAGGACGAGGACGAGGACGAGGAGGAGGAGGAGGAGAAAGAGGAGGAGGAGGAGGAGGAGGAGAAGGAGGAGTGGCGGCGGCGGCACGACTCCTCGCCCCGTCCAGGCGCCCAGCGAGGGGGCACACTGTGGGCCATCGCTGCGCGGCAGGCAGGACGACGGTGCGGGCAGTCCTGGCAGCTGCGCAGAGCTTTCGCTTTTCAGCCATGCGCGGAGGGGGAGGGGAAGGGGGGAGGGATTCTTGGAAGCACCCCTGCTTCTTAGAAGGCGGGGGCCTTGTCCGTAGATGCAGGGCCGGCACCGTCTAAAACAGCCTCCTTCTAAGGAGCCGCTCCCCCTCCCCCTACCCCCTTGTGCGCGCCGCCAAGGCTTCTGTGCTCTGGACTGCACTCACTTTCCTCCCAGTCGTGCTCGGGGGAGGCTGCAGCGCCGCTCAACGATGTGCTGTTCACCGAGGCTGTGGGGTGGGCCCTGCCCTTCGCTGTGCACTTCGGCGTTGGCTTCGGCTTCGGCTGTGATGCACTTCGAAGCGCCCTCGGGCCAGCTTACCCGAGTCAGTGTCCCTCGGCGGCGAGAAGGGGGGTGAAGTGTTAAGGCGAAGGCCTTCTCAGAAGGCGGCGGGACGTCTCAGAAGCCCTCGCACCTTCTGAGAAGTTGTCTGCGTCTTCGGTGGAGGCTTCGAAAACTTTTCAGAAGGCTGGGGAACTTCCGAGTCTTCTGAGAAGTCCTCCGTCTCACTTCACCAAGGGTTTGCCGCCAATTCCCGCTCGCACAGGTGCCTCTCTCCCCGCCCCGTCCGCCCAGTCACCCCTTCTTCGTCGCCCTGCCGCTCGCCTGACCCCCCCTCCCCGTCTCCTCACCTTCCCCTCTCCTTGTTCCCTCGGGCTCCCCTTGCCTCATCAAGGCCTCCTGGAGGCTCTGGGGGTATTCGGAGCAGCTGGAAAGAGGCCCAGAGCAGGCGAAACGCACAGGGCCTTCCAGGTGGTGTGATTGATGCAGGAAAAGCCAGGAGGCAGCGATCTGTAGAGTACAATAGACTCCTCGTTGAGGCAAGTTGGTATGAGCCAAAAAGCGCGGATTGAACTCCATGTTGCTACTGATGTCCTTGTGTGCGCATGGGATGAATGTGCGCTGGATCATGAGTGTGACGCGGATGCTGCGTGAGAAGGACGGGGGGAAATGTTGCCACGTTGGCACGGTAAGATCTTGAAATGTTGGCGTTCATTCTGGAAGAGATCCTTCAAGCATCACGCGGTATCCTGATGATATGAAGTGCGTAGCGACTGCAGGATCGGGTGCCGATCTTGTCGAACATTGCAATGGTTGGCAGTGGAATCGCCCAGAAAGTCAACGCTAGGGTTGGCCCCCGAAATGTTGCAACCGACAGGGATTAAGCGAGCGGTATCTGGGAACCTTCTTCTTCATTATCACCATAAGAAGCATCACAATCATCATCATCATCATCATCATCATCATCATCATCATCATCATAATCATGATCAGCATCAATATCATCATATTCATATTCGGCATCCTCATCATCATCAGCAGCATCACCTTAACCATCATCACCAGTATCATCATCATTATCATTAGCATGACCATGACCACCACCATCAGCAGAAACATCGTCACCACCGTCACCACCATCAATACGTGCAACAGATTTATTTGCATGGTCGTCATCATCGTCATCACCACCACAAGCATCATCATCATCAGCATCGGCATCACCATCGCCATATCCAGCATCATCAGCATCATCAGCATCGACATCATCGTTGTCATCAGTGACAGTGTCATCATCGTCGTAGCAGCAACAACAACAACAGCAACAGCAATGCCCCATCATAATCGACCACAGCGTCATCATCGTTTTCGCCACCGCCGCAATAACCATCGTCGTCATCATCGTCATCTTCATCATTAGTAGCCATGTTGGTTCAAGCGGCGGCATGGGCCGTGGCTCGCAACTGCCAGCTGTTTCACGACTCTGCCTCATAGTGCTAGCTGTCGATGCGTTCGCGCAGCCGTTCGCGCGAGCCAGCACCAGTGCCAGCAGCCATGGACGGACCCACGATGATGATGCACATCAGGGAGATGCTGCGCTCCGAGATCAAGGAGCCGATGGTGGAAGATTTTGCGGACGTGAAGACGCCCATCGACAACGCGAGCAGGGGCGTCGAGAGACACGAGGGGCGCCTCAACAACATGGAGCAGGAGATCAAGGACCAACGAAAGGGACGTTCGGCGGCTCCCTCGTCCACGGCGGCTTCCTCCATGGGGCATCCGCTGCGCTTCTCGGGGGTCGAGGGCGCGACGGCTCGGCCTGTCGCGCGGGGGCCGAAGAGGGCGCGCGACAAGATTTGCGCGACTATTGGCGGCTGGGATCGGGACACACCCCGCGGCGCCATCCTGAACGAGGCTCGTGCGCTCACCGACGCCAATCCCGACAAAGCAGGGGATGGGGTGTTCGCCCCGCTCAAGCGTGCCAGTTCCTTGAAGGTCCGTTTCGCGAGTTCGGGGCGCATGTGGCCTTGTGGAGAAGCTCTCGGAGGAAATCCGGCTCTCCATGATGATCCCACGCGCGAAGAAGGAGGTGACCGACAACCTAGGCGCGCAGGCGGCGGACCTCGAGCTAGACTACATTCGAGGCATCACCTGGTGGAAGCAGCACAGGTCCGGCGAGATGGTGAGGACCACGGGTCCCATGAGCTTCAAGGAGCACGTCGCCGCCGACATCAGCGCCCACACGGGCGTGCACCTCAGCCTGATCGAGTTCCAGGCCAAGGTCAACGCGGGCCGATGACTGGACAAGGAGCGGACTCTGGAGAAGTCTGAGGAGCAGATGTGCTTCAAGCTCATCAGCTGGAACGCTCAGGGCATTGCGAAACAGAACGCCGAGTACTTTGCTGCGACGCTGCGCTCGCAGCACGACTACGACGCGGCCATCCTCCAGGAGGTCGGCTACTGGGGCAAGACCACGAGGCTGGAGGTCGGCGAGGGCGACTTCTATTTGGTCACACCGCGGGTCGAGGGGCAAAAGCAGATGGGGCTGCTGGCGCGCCCTCGGGCCCGACTTACTCCACGAGGGGGGTTGTTGCCACAGGGGGCGCTCGGCGGCACCCTTTTTTCGCATCCGCAGGAAGGACTATTGGATAGCATGCTGTCACCTTTTTCCAGGGCACTCCCTCAGTCAGCACGAGGACTATGGAGGAGCTCTCCGACCTGATCATGATGGCACCGCCTGGGCCGCACCCGATCGCGGGCGCGGATGCGCAGACGGCCCTGCCCCCCCCGCCCCCCCCCCCCCCCCCCCCCAACCCCACCCCACCCCACCCCACCCCCCACCCCACCCCACCCACCCCACCCCACCCACCCCACCCCCACCCCACCCCACCCCCCCCCCCCACACACACACACCACACACACACACACACACACACACACACACACACACACACACACACACACACACACACACACACACACACACACACACACACACACACACAACACCACCACCACCACCACCACACCACCACCACCACCACCACCACCACCACCACCCGCAGGCGGGCGAGGAGCGCTGGATCGGGGAGCCCCCAGTCGGTCAGCGCACACGTCGCGCCGAGATTGACGAGACTTTCCACACAGCACGACCTGGCGGCGACGAACACGTTCACTGCGGCGGCCAGCGAACCCACCTGCCACTACGACTTCAAGCGCCCGCCAGCCCCAGGTCGACTATGTTCTGATACCTGCTCGCGACATCTGGAAGGTCGGCACAACGCTCGAGGAGATCACCGACAGCGCGCAATCCGACCACTCGGCCATCATGCTGGAGTTGACCCTTGGCACCAAGAGGCCCTACATTTGGAACGAAGGTCGTGCGCCCACGAAGGGCTGGACCTGCCTCGACGACCGCCTCCAGCGCTGGAGCCACAGCGCCTGCTACGCCGACCGTAACCCAGCGCCGATCACTTCCATGACGGACGCGGTGCACCTGGCTGCCGCTGCCTGCGGCAGGGGCCCGCCTGCGAGGACGGCCCCAAGCTCCCCGAGGGCCGCGAGCTCACGCAGACGCTGCGGGCGTTAAGGGCACGTCGCCGGGTCACCCGCGACCGCACGCAGCGGACGATCTACAGCAAGGATGTCATCCAGATTCGCAGGAAGATATGGACCGCGAACAGGGCCCTGCAGCACTACCTGCACGAGGCTGGCAATCCCCGAGTACGAGCTTCTCGCCGAGCTCAGCCTGGACCGATCCACAACCAGCCGACGAACGCGGAGGAAAAGATCGAGGACGACCCGCCGCGGATCAAGGAGCTCCTGGAGCGCGAGCACGGCAACACCCTCAGGGCCAGCGACCGGGAGGAGCTCGTCGGGCCCTGCCTACCCCGCCCACTTCACAACGGAGGATGCACTCGATATCCCGCCCTTCTCGCCCGAGATGCCCCGCGAGGCTCTGTGCGACATGCAGGCCGTGAAGTCGCCTGGCGTGGACGGGGCGGTCGCCAAGGTCCTGCAGGCCCTCGACGCGGGCTTCCTTGCCTCGCCCGCGGCCATCTTCGAGAACCGCTTCCGCGGGGCACCCGAGCATGCCAGGGGCCAAGCCTGGTCGAAGTTCATCATCCAGCTCATGAAGAAGAAGGGAGACAAGCACACGCACAAGGGGCACAGGCCGATCACGCTCCTGACTACCTTCGAGAAGCTCCACTCGGTTGGCCCGATGAAGAAATGCGCCGACAAGTTGACCCTGCGGGGCCCACGGAGCGCCTATCGGAAGTCCCACCAAGCGATGGACGCGATCTTCAGCATGCGCATGCTGGCGGAGAAGGGGCCGCGAGTGGAACCGACCCAGTTTCATCGTGGGCGGCGATATCGAGGCTGCCTTCGACCGCGTCTCGCACCGCTCGGTCGAGGAGACACTGGGAAGAAGGGCTGCGCCAAGGCCCGTGATCTAAGCCATCACGAGGGAGTTGAAGGCCCCGGCGGTGATCCAGATGGGCTCGATCCAATGACAACGAGTTCCCTGGCGAGTGCTGGACACACGGCCGGGGCCACGAGTTTCCAGGCGAGGCGACGCTGCACGAGGCGGGACTTCCGCACGCCGACAACTTCTGGCTTTTTGCGGGCACGGCCGAGCCGCTGCGCCAGATGACGACGGCCTGGCGGCGCATCCAGCGAGCTCGCGGCCGGCACGCACCTCCTCCTGGCATGACCTGGGGCGCGACGGCGCTGGACCCCGAGTTCGGCGACTACCAGATGAGGGTCGAGGACGGCGCCCTGACGCGCACGCCTCGTGCCGAGAGTTCCCCTTGCCTCGGCTCTATCTTCACCTTCGATGGAAGGTCTTGGAAGGACGCGCAGCACGGGGTAGCTCGCGCCTGGAAAGCCTTCTACGCTCTCAAGATGTCTCTACCTGGACGCGCCTGCCGCTGGCAGCAGGCCGCGAAGCTGTTCGAGCGAGCCATCAAACCTGTCTTGCTCTATGGGTCGGGATCGTGGTGCCCCACGGCCAAGGGTCTGAATATACTTCGCGTCACGCACCGCAACATGTTCTCTCCGCTGATTTGCACTCAGAGATGAAAGGAGGAGACGCCAGAGGACTTCTGTCGCCGCCGATGGCGCCGCGTCTCTGCCGCTCTCCAGCCCCACGCGACATGGGACATAGACGTGAACCTTCGCAGGCTCACCCGGGCTGGACACCCAGCCCGCCAGGCCGCCCTGCCAGACGCCACACCTGCCCAGCTTGTGCCTGTCCATCTGCTACAGTGGCGCAGCATGGCCTGGCTCCACAGAATGAAACGCGAGCACGGATCCCAGACGCACGGCCCCAAGTTCAAGGCCTGGCGATCGGAGATGGACCTCGCCTGACTGCTCGGTTCCGATTGGCTCGCGGACGCCAGCCAGTGCGGCAAGGTAGAATGGCTCGCTCGCGTTCGCCCGATTGCACACCAGCTGCACTGACCTTAATCTCCTCGCGCCTCACCCGAGGCACTTTTGCATAACGTTTCTCTCAGCGGCTTGACGTGCCGGCTCAGGCGCAAGGGAGACCTTGAGGGCACGGTGCAAAGTGCAAAGCGCATCATTATTAACTTCATCAGCATCAGCATCATCAGCGTTACCATCGTCACCATCAGTATCAGCAACTGCGTCCTTTGCATCGTCGTCATCATCGTCCTCATTATCATCCTCATCCTCGTCGTCATTATCACCGTCATCATCAGCATTAACATCACCATCATCCTCATCATCGACATCGTCGTCATCACTGGCATTGTCATCATTGTCGTCGTCATCATCATCAACATCACCACCATCATCAACAACAGCATCCCCATCCTCACCGACCACAGCATCACAATCGTCTTCGCCATCGCCGCCATCATCGTCACCACCACCGCCACCGTCGTCACCATCACCGTCACCGCCTGGGACCCCGCGCCTCGCCACACCCCCGCCCCAGGGGCCCCACCGCCGAGCCCCCTGCCGCGGCCGCAGCCCGCTGCGCCGCGCCCCGCCGGCGATGGCCGCGGCGGCGCGAGCGCTGGCGGCCCTCGAAGGGCAAAGCGCGACACGAACACAGCCAAGACATGGTCGAATGATCGAAGTTTTCTTACGGTGTGCTGCGCCTCTCCACGTTCCACGCCCTCGGGGTGCGTCGCAGCATCTGCCTCGCCAAGAGCGTTCCAGGGATGCCCGGAGCGTCCCGAGCCGCCGCCGGAGGCCCGAGTCATGACCCGAAAACCGACGATCGCCACCCGCGGAGCGTCCTCCCCCTTTTCCTCCTCTTCATCTTCCTCCTCCTCCTCCTCATCCTCCTCTCTCCTGGCCCCGGTGGCCTCTTCATGAGCGGCAATGGGGCGGCACTGGCGCTATCGACGGAGAAAACAAAAAACTAAACCAAAAAGAAAAAATGAGATGTACCCAACCCATTTGCATAAAGTGGCACGAGGAGTTGGCCCAAACTTGCCAGGACAATGACAGTACAGGCGCCGCTGTATATCGTGCAAGCTACATGGGATGCCCGCGGCACGATTCACAGGACAACAACAGAAGGACGAGGAGCGAAGGCCCAAACTTGAGGTGGACATGTGGACGGGAACGCAGGGCAGGAGAAGGACGCGCGGGGGGCCGACCCGTCAGCGCGGCAGCAGCAGAGGAAAGGTGGCAGGGGGCAGAAGACGACGACGAAAGCGACGGGAAGAGGCTGAAGAATGCTGCTTTTGTCGGTAGTCCGCTAAGGATGCAGCGCTGCCTGCGACATGTCGTCGCGGCGCTCGACCAAATGATTAAACCTGCGTGTAGCGTGTGTGCAAGAAGGGAGCGTGGCCTAGCTCGCCCGCCAACTTCCCTGTTTCGGTCTTGCACTTTTCAGCGCGGGAGCTAAACGCTCGAAGGCGCGCCGCCAAGTCTGCGAGCATCCCGCGACAGCGCCCCGCTGGACCCCCCAGCAGCCCTCGAAAGTGGCGACCGTTTCGCAGATCGCAGCCCCACAGGGATGGCGAGGTCTAATCTGAGTCTGCAAGGACGTCATCCCGCTGGATACCCCAGCAGCCTTCGAAAGTGGCGACGGCTTCCGCAGATCGCAGCCCCACAGGGATGGCGAGGTCTAATCTGAGTCTGCGTGGGACGTCACTCCGCTGGACCCCCAGCAGCCATCGCAAGTGGCGACGGTTTCGCAAATCGCAGTTCCACAGGGGTGGCGAGATCTTATTTGAGTCTGGGTAGGACGTCACTCCTCTGGACCCCAGCAGCCTTCGAAAGTGGCGACGGCTTCCGCAGATCGCAGCCCCACAGGGATGGCGAGGTCTAATCTGAGTCTGCGTGGGACGTCACTCTGCTGGACCCCCCAGCAGCTCTCGAAAGTGGCGACAGATTCGCATATCGAAGCCCCACAGGGACGGTGATGTCTAATCTGAGCCTGCGTGGGACGCCACTCCGCTGGACACCCCGCAGCAGCCCTCGAAAGTGGCGACAGCTTTGCAGGCCACAGCCCCGCAGAGATGGCGAGGTCTAATATGAGTCTGGGTAGGACGTCACTCCGCTGGATTCCCTCAGCAGCCCTCGAAAGTGGCGACAGTTTCGCAGCTCGCAGCCCCACAGGGATGGCGAGGTCTACTTTGAGCCTGCGTGGGACGTCACGCCGCTGGACCACCCAGCAGCAGTCTAGAGCGGCGACAGTTTCGCAGATCGCAGCCGCACAGGGATGGCGAGGTCTAATCTGAGCCTGCGTGGGACGTCACTCCAGTGGATCTCCCAACAGCCCGCGAAATTGGCGACAGTTTCGCAGGTCGCAGCCCCTCTGGGATGGCGAGGTCTAATCTGACTCTGCGTGGGACGTCACTCCACTGGACCATCCAGCAGCCCTCCAAAGTGGCGACGGCTTCCGCAGATCGCAGCCCCACAGGGAGGGCGAGGTCTAATCTGAGTCTGCGTGAGACGTCACTCTGCTGGAACCCCCAGCAGCTCTCGAAAGTGGCGACAGTTTCGCAGGTCGCAGCCCCACAGGGATGGCGATGTCTAATCTGAGCCTGCGTGGGACGTCGCTCCGCTGGGCACCCCAGCAACCTTCGAAAGTAGCGACAGTTTCGCAGGTCGCAGCCCCACAAGGATGGCGAGGTCTAATATGCGTTTGCGTGGGACGTCATTCCGCTGGATCCCCGCAGCAGCCTTCAAAAGTGGCGACGGTTTCGCAGATCGAAGCCCCACAAGGATGGCGAGGTCTAATCAGAGTCTGCGTGGAACGTCACGCCGCTGGATCCCCCAACAGCCCTCGAAAGTGGCGCCAGTTTCGCAGATCGCAGCCCCCCAGGGATGGCGACGTCTGATCTGAGCCTGCGCGGGACGTCGCTCTGCAGGACCCCCCAGGAGCCCTCGAAAGTGGCGACAGGCTTCCAGATCGCAGCCCAACAGGAATGGCCCCACAGGGATGGCCAGGAAGGAGGCAAGCTGGCACGCAGGAAGGAGCGAGGTGAGAAGCAGGAGAAAAAGGGAGAGGGGACGGGAAGGAGGCGCCCGAGGAGGAGGGGAGAGGGGCCCGAGGAGGCGCCCGAGGAGGCGCCCGAGGGGCCGGAGGAGGGAGGCGGAGACCGTTGTGCTCTGTTTAGTATTACGTTGTGACGTACCCAGCCCATTTGCATCAAGTGACACGAGGGGTTGGCCCAAGCTTGCCAGGACAATGACAGTTCAGGCGCCGTTATGTGCTGTCCAAGCTACACGGGGTACGCTCACGTGGCACGGCTCACAGGGACAACAGCAGAAGGACGAGGCGCGAAGGCCCAGAGCTGAGGAGGACATGGGTGCGGGAACGCAGGGCAGGAGGAGGACGCGCGGGGGGCCGACCCGTCAGCGCGGCAGCAGCAGAGGGAAGGTGGCAGGGGGCAGAAGACGACGACGAAAGCGACGGGAGGAGACCGAAGGGTGTTGCTGCTGTCGGTAGCACGCTAAAGATGCAGCGCTGCCTGCGCCACGTCGTCGCTGCGCTCGACCAAATGATTAAACTTGCGTGTAGTGTGTGCAAGAAGCGAACGAGGCTTAGCTCGCCCGCAGATTTCCTTGCTTCCTTCCTGCGTATCCAGTGCGGGAGCTAAGTACTCGAAGGCACGCCGCCAGGTCTGCGGGCGGCCCGCGACAGCGCCCCGCTGGACCCCCCAGCAGCCCTCGAAACTGGCGACGGTTTCGCAGATCGCAGCCCCACAAGGATGGCGAGGTCTAATATGCGTTTGCGTGGGACGTCGTCCCGCTGGATCCCCGCAGCAGCCCTCAAAAGTGGCGACGGTTTCGCAGATCGCAGCCCCACAAGGATGGCGAGGGCGAATATGAGTTTGCATGAGACGTCACTCCGCTGGATTCCCTCAGCAGCCCTCGAAAGTGGCGCCAGGCTAGCCAATCGCAGCCCCACAGGGTGGCGATGTCTAATCTGACTATGGGTAGGACGTCGCTCTGCTGAATCCCGCAGCGGCTCTCGAAAGTGGCGACGGCTTCCGCAGATCGCAGCCCCACAGGGATGGCGAGGTCTAATCTGAGCCTGCGTGGGACGTCATTCCGGTGGATCCCCCAGCAGCCCTCGCAAGTGGCGACGGTTTCGCAGATCGCAGCCCCACAGGGATGGCGAGGTTTAATATGAGTCTGCGTGGGACGTCACTCCGCTGGACCCCGCAGCAGCCCTCGAAAGCGGCGACAGTTTCGCAACTCGCAGCCCCCCAGGGATGGCGAGGTCTAATCTGAGTCTGCGTGGGACGTCACCCCGCTGGACCTCCCAGGAGCCTTCGAAAATAGCGACAGCTTTGCAGGCCGCAGCCCCCCCAGGGATGGCCAGGAAGGAGGCAAGCTGGCACGCAGGAAGGGGCGAGGTGAGAGGCAGGAGAGAAGGGGAGACGGGGCGGGAGCCAGGCGCGCGAGGAGGAGGAGAGCCGGAGGAGGGAGGTGGAGACCGCAGCGCTTTATGCATAACGAGCACCCAACGCAGGAGGGGTGGGAACGAGTACCCAAAGCAGGGGGGCTGGGACCATAACGTACATTGCGTGGGGCTCCCCGTATGTGCATATATTCGCATGGACCGTTCCGCCGTCAGCGTCCAGGCGCCAAAGATTTCGAATATCAACAAGTTTGAATATTAACAAGTTTGAGTATTGACGGTCTGGGAGCGAATCTAATTGTGAATGAGTTGGAATGCGATTGCGTCTCATTAGCGTTAGCCGTCTCTGCGCATGAGCCTGAAACCTCCTGGGGGTTCCTGTGGCCTTCTGGAGCCTCTTGGGGCCTCCTGGGGCCTCTTGGGGCGTCCTGTGGCCTCCTGAGGCCTCCTGGGGCCTCGCGTGGCCTCCCAGGGCCTCCAGGAGCCTCCTGGAGTCTCCTGGGGCCTCCTGGGGAGGATTCGTGTGCCCCAGGAGAGGTTGAATCTATAGGAACAAACGTAAAACATTCGGATTGGAGTCGCAGGAAAGGGGCAATCAATAGAAACACGCGTAAAACACCAAGGACTCGTGCCCCAGGGGAGGCCTAATCTGTAGGAACATGCGTAAAGCACCAGACATTCGAGCCACTCCTGGGGCCTCGTCGGGGCTCCTGGGGTCTTCCGGGAGCTCCTGGTGCCTCCTGCCGCTTCTTGTGGTTTCCTGGGGCCTCCTGTGGCCTCCTGGGGCCTCCTGGGGCCTCCTGGGGTCTCCTGGTATCTCTTGGAGCTTTCTGGGGCCTCCTGTGGCCTCCTAGGATCTCCTGTGGCTTCCTGATACCTCCTGGGGCCTCCTGGGGCCGCCTGGAGCCTACTGGAGCCTCCTGCGTATGATTTCCGTTGCCAAAGGAAGACCATGCGATCCAATAGTGTCAGCGCTTACACGGCAGCGCTTATCATGTGCGCCTCCTCCACGTTGGAAGGTGGGGGAGAACGTGATAACATTTAGAGGGGGCATGCCACCGTGTATACCGGTGTGCCTTATGCTGAATATGGCACGGCATGCTCCCAACTGAACAAAAAAACATTGACGCCTAAGTTGATGAGAACGGGGTTCCGTGATGCAACAGTCGGCCATGGAGGAATAGGAAGAGGGTGGATAGGAGGAGTTGGGAAAGGAGGAGGAGAGGGACGATTGGGAATGAGGTGATAATTAGAGGGGGCATGCCACCGCGATGCACCAGTGTGCCATCTGCTGAATATGGCACGGCATGCCCCCCTCTTCTTTTGAAACATATGAATAATTATGTTTATAGTAGTAATAACATTAATGCGGATATTAAAGTATGAAAAATAATGGTGGTAATAATAGTGGTAATACTACCTAATAGTAATGTATACTAGTAGTAATAGTATTCGTAAGACTAAGAATACTAATAAGAGTCGCAGCAACAACAACAACAGCAACAACAATATCAATATAATAAAGACCTGAAAACACTGGCACGCCAATTGATAGGATCGGTCATGGGGGAATAGGAAAAGGATGGGCACGAGGAGTTGGAAAGGATGAGGAGAGGGACGACGGGGGGAGGAGGCGCAAACTTAGTCGGATGTGAAGATTCAGCCCACCAAGACGTCCAAGATGCCCTCCCATATGGTTCAACAAGAGCGCCAGCGCTCGAGAGGCCTCGTAGCATCTATGATAGGCTCAAGACGGCTGACAAGGCTTTCCAGATGCGTCATGAGAAGCTATCGTCTTCCTTCTCCGCTTCCCCCCCCCTTCCTCCTCCTCCTCCTCCTCATCATCCTCCTCCTCCTCCTCCTCCTCCTCCTCTTCCTCCTCCTCCTCCTCCTCCTCCTCTCCCTCCTCCTCTACCTCCTCATCCTCCTCCTCCTCCGCATCCTCCTCCCATAGCCGTTTTGGCTCAAGATGGCATGCCATCGCGAGCGCAGCGTGGATACCGCCAGTCCGCGGCCAGTTCCAACAATTTCGCAGCCACACCCAGGGACGAGCTTCCGCCCATTCCTGCTGATTTCTCTGGCGTTGCAGGCCGCCATACATATCGCTTTGAGCCTCGCGCCGAGCATCCATATCGACTCGTGCCCCGTGCCGAGCATCCATACCCCCGCATCGAGCTCTGCGCCGTGCGTCCATATCGCCCCTTCGCGCGCTGCTCCGAGCCAGTTAACAAGAGCCAGCCAAGTACGCAGTGGTTCCGTCGTGGACCTGGCCAGTGGCGAATCGCTGAGCAGCACCTTGATCCCTGTTGCCTGTACTACAACACCATGTCCGCCGCATCCTCCGACAGGGACGACTTCTCCAACGGATCCACGTCCCGCGGCCGCCGAGAGGACCGTCAGCAACGCCGCGAAGACCCTCGCCGTGACGACCGACGTCAGGATGTCTGCCAGCACCGGCGGGAAGAACCCCGTAGAGATGGCCGACGCACTGCTCGCGAACACCTCGAAGACCGAGGATACACAGGCCTCAGCAGTCAAGGCCCTGCAGGTGCTCCCCAGTCGCAACCCCGAGCTGCAAGTCGGAGCACCGCACGTCCGCCACCGACCCCTACCCGCAGGCCCGCCAGATCAGGAGGAAGCACTGCCCCCGAAGCCCCCGCCTCGGCCATGGAAGAGGACATTAAGCCACCACCTCGCCATGTTGTCCATGATTCCATTCTCAGGTGCCTCCGACCCAAGGGCCAATTCTCGATATGTCGCAACAGCTGGGCCCCGCTGCCGCTGAACAATTCGCACGTGACATCGAACGGGCTCCTACATTTGCATCTCAATCCTTTGCGGTCCCAGCCACTCCAGTCGCTGGCCACGCTACTCCTGGATCTGAACACGGACCACATCATACACAATCAGAACGAGATGGGCCGCTTCCTGAGATATCCGAAGATCAGGACGTCGCTCTCCGTGAACTTATGCAACGCCAAGTTGCTACTGCCGCCCCCCGCTTTCAAGCGCAAGCCGACCAGCTTCTCGCCGAATCTCGCGAAAGTTCCCGCCATCTCGCCCAGCAACAAGTCACTGCCACCGAACGCCGAGTCGATGTACTACGGGACGAAGTCGCCCGCACTCGCAGAGAACAAGACCGCCATGCTGCTGAACATCAGCGAATGTGACAACAGATCGACCAGATGCGCGACACCCTGGCCCTCGCTGAAGCGCAGACACCGGTCGCGGCCCTTAACCGCCTCGCCAAGCGGGACCGACAACCTGACCCCACGCTCTTCTCCGCGGGCTGCCAGCGCCCCATCGCACCGAACGCGTTGCTCAACGACCTCCAGGAATGGATCGCAGTTGCCAATATGCAATCAAATCATGCGGAACTTCTCGGAGATGGCAGGCTTGCCCGACGTTCCGCGCTTCATGTCAAAGGAGACAGCGCCGTTGCAGTTCCCCGAGCTATGGCTCTCTCGCGCGTCATGCGCAACGCAGCCGGGCAATGGAAGCGCGTTACCTCTACCGATATCACGGGCCAGCCAGTTGACAGATCAACCCTGACAAGTCCTCCAAGCAGATCAGGACTGAAGCCCAGACCAAGAAGCTCTTTCAACTTATGCGGCATCGCTACCCTCATCATCGGTGGAGAGCCTTTCGCACCAAGGGATGGGCCCACTGCCACTCCATGCCTATCGTCAAGATCATCATCCGTGGCCAGAGCGACCCATCCACCCTCCTGTGGAACGAGCAAGCCTTCGGCAACATCCTCACCTCCTTCCAGGCGCTCTTTGCTGACACGGAGGCAGCTACGCGGCGTTCCTAACCACCGTTGGGCCCCATGGCGGTTGGACGCCGCCACGGAGCCGACCACCGTCGCCACGTGGAACGCGCGAGCACTCATGTGCTAACAGAGCAGGCGCCGCCGTCGCAAACAATATGCCCTCGATAAGTACACGATGCGCAAGTGCGCGATCACGCTCCAGGAGGTTCATGGCTCCGAAGCACTGCTCCGCACCTGGGCCGACACGCCGCCGTGCCCCTACAAGGTTCATTGCTCAGCGTTCCCCAGCGTCGATGGCGACAACTCCACGGGAGGCGTCGCCACGCTTGTTCCGTGGCCCTAGCCGATGGAGCTGGAACAGCTCCAGCCGCATCAGCCCCCACTCTTTGACCACGTCGAGTTCGTTCCTGGGCGCGCCCAGCAACTCGCGATCACGCACGTCGTCACGCGCGCCACCATGGTCATCATGAATGTCCACAACCACGATATTACGGTCGACGATCGCCGCAAGATCCAGCAGGCATGGGAGCTCAATCGTACGCGGGCGGGGGCGAACTACCGCACGCGCACATCCATTGCGACCGGGGATTTCAATGTAGCCAGCCGCCCGCCACAGAGCTTCTTCCAGCCAGCAGCAGCGACCTCCCGACGCGCTTCAACCGCGCGCACTACACCGCATCCACCATCGACCGCATCTTCATCAGCCCCCCCTCGCACGCCACGACCGAGCTCACCATCAACGCGAAGGTTGCAGACGATGCGACGCTGCTTACGGACGACCGCCTCAGTGACCACGCGACCATCACTTTCGCCATCGGGATCAAGCCTCGCACGCCGCTCGTCGACCAGGGCATCCACCCGTCGATCTTTCGCGACCCGAACTACGCCGTCTACTTTCAGCAGCTGCTCGACGCCACGAAGACCGACCACGCCTCCATAGACAGCCGCTGGCGCACACACACACACACACACACACGAGGCCCATGACTGAAACTGCGCAGCTGGTTCGCGACGACTGGGTTCGACAGACCTCCGGTGACGCCAACAAATCGGGCTACCTCGCTGGGAGCGCCCTCACTGCTCGCTCCATCTCCAGAGCCATTTGGCGCCAAGATCTTCAATTCGCTCGCCGCGTCGCCACCGCCACCACCCTGGGCGCCAAGTACCTCTCGGTTGCCAGTTGCACCATCACGCCCCGCGACCCCATCGACTTCGCCAACCAGGCCGCGCAGCTGCACCGCGACTTCGAGGCCAGGCAACTCTCTCTTGCCCAGCAGGCAGCTCAGCACCCCCAGGGGCAAGAAGGAGCGTTGCATCCAGAAAAGCTACGTTAAACCGCGCGGCCCCCCCAGCGTCGGGCCCTTCTCTGGGCCCCCTGGAAACGCCGTCTCGTCATCCAGGGAGTCAAGATCACAAGCCGTGATGGGCCTCAGACCACCAGAGAGAGCAGCTCCATCGCCGCTGCCCCACACACGCACCGGCAGCCCATCTTCGAGGCGAAGCGCACCGACATTGCCCAGGTTGCCGACTACATCCACACGCACATGCCGAAGGGCGACACCCTTGACATCGGGGCGCCTGCCAAGCCGCAGATCAAGGCCATCCTGCGCAGAACTCCCCCCTCGGCCCCTGGCCCAGATTCCCCGCCATACTCCGCCTGGCTCGCGCGCGGAGCCTCGCTTGACATGCTCGAGGACCTCTCCTTCTTCCCCTGCTCGGAACAGCACCACATTCGCGATCTGGGCGACTCCGACTTCGCCTTCCTGCCTAAGGGTGATAATGCACAGGGCGAGCTTACATTTGACAGGGTGCCCGAGGACGCGCGCCCCCTCTCGCTGAAAAGCCCGGACGTCAAAGCCATCGCAGGAGCCGCTAACTCCTTGCTCAAGGGCGCCGCGGCAGAGCGCGCCCACATCGCCCAGCAGAGCTTCGCCCAGGGACGCAACTTCACCAGACACATCGTCCGCTTCGACGCCGAGATGCGCCGTGCTGGATGGCTACCAGACGCCCTTGTATCCAAACCCGTCTCCGCCGGCTTTGACATCTCAGCGGCCTTCCCGTCATTGGGGCGGGACTGGCTCTTCACCGCGCTGGAGCACTTTGGCCTCCCGCAGGGCATCCTCAACCTCTTCCTAGCCATGTACTTCGCGCCCTCCAGCTACATCAAGATCGACGGCGCGCGCCACGGCATGCTCGGGATAGGCTCTGGATTGGCGCAAGGCTGTCCTGCTTCAGGCTCTGCATGGGCGATAGCCATGGACCCAATCATCCGTCACCTCGCATCGTTTGTGGAGCACCCGAACGGCACGCCGAACCTCGACGTTGGCCACCCGGGTGCACGCGCTGACGACATTGGCCGGCTGACGTCCTCGTTCGACGAGCTGCGCCCAGTGGTCGCCCCGTTTGCCGCTGCGGAGGAGTCGGTTGCAGGGCGAGCCAAGTACCCGGGCACTTGTCCCAGCCCCGAGGCCCCATTGGCCTGCCAATGGCTTGCCCCTGGGCAAAAAATGGCTGCAACGGGGTAATTTGCTTCAGCTTGTGCAGAGTGGCACCGACGCAACTGTTCGTTTATGACATATTTCAGTGATGTCTACGCTGAGCTACATTTCGCAGTTCTTCCCGCTCGAGACCTCCATCGCTCGCCATGAACTGTATACGTTCCACGAGATGCTTCGCACGCCACCGAAGTCTTTTCGAAAAGTTGACCTGATCGCAATGGCGGGTTGGAGCCCGCCACCTGTCATTCAACCCGCTCAAATTATAGCTGCTGCAAATGCTGCACGTTCTGCAGCAGTGACGCTCGCAGGCGCGCGGGAGCATACGCCGATCGCCTCGCTGACCTATCGCGGGAAGAAACAACGCTACAGGAAGCACCCCGCTGGCAGGCTGGTGCATGGTCACTGCCCTTCTGGTCCTCCCAGACAGCGATCGCACAGTACTGCCGCTCGCTCACGCGCCACGAATCCCAGTCACCATTCTCTAGCCAGTCCATTGCTGCCGCCGCCCGCGTCGCTCGCAGTGAACAGGGGGGGGCGGCAGCCACGAACCCACCGCGCCGTGCCAAGTTCCAACGCATCCGCGCAGTCAAGCTCCGCGCCCCGACGTTCAATCCGCCTTTCACGATCACGCTTGCCAAGCGCCTCTCCCCCCGGGGCCTACATGCGCCCTTGGAACCAAGAGAGCTTCAGAAGCGCTGGGATACTCTGACCGGCACACTCAAACAAATGCGACCGAGCTGGCGTTGGGCCACTTTCAAGACCCTCACCAGTGGTTAGACTACCACAGCTAGGATGCACATCCTTCAGCAGCGCAAGTGCGCGTTCGGATGCACCGACGCGCCTGGCTCATTCCCGCACTACCTCTCCTGCCCCGCCCTGTTGAGGTTCCCCTGGTTCCCTGACCCCCCCCCTCCTCACCCAGTCAACGCTGGCGGCGTGGTAACTGGGCCCCGCCGCAGCGCATGCGGCTGACGCCACCAGCCCAATGTCCTTGCCAACCACAGTCTCGAGGACCGTCCTGGCATTCCATGTTTACAACAAGATGAAATTCACTGTCAGCGTGCGCACTGCTGCTGTCTCGCAAGCAGACCTGGTCGCGTCGCGCCGCGCAGCACATGCATCACTATACAGGTAGAGGCGCTAGGCCAGAGCACGGCGGCAGAGACTAACTCATTTGCTCTCTTCTCATTCGTGCACGTGCCCGCCTGCCCTCCTCAGTTCTCAGGGTGCCCATACTCCTCCGCCTCCTCCTCCCCTCCACCACTACCAACTCCTCCTCTTCCTCATCCTCCTCCTCCTCTTTCCCCTTCCCCCCATCATCAGCATCACCATCATCATCATCACCATCAGCATCGTCGTCGCTATCGTTGTAATATCCATCGTGATGACCACCATTGATCATCACCATCAAGACATCCACGCAATATGAACCACCCGGGGTGCCAGGAGGCGGTCTGAATGTGATCGATTCTGAGTGTGAGTGATCCGATTGGGAGTAATATGAGTATGAGTATGATGAGTATGAGTCTGAGTGGGTCTGAGTACGAGTGAGCCTGACGACGAGTGATTCGGAGGTTGGATGGGTCTAAGTGTGAGTGACCTTCAGTGTGCGTAAGTCTGAGTGTGGGTGAGTCTGAGTATGCGTATGATGAGTACGAATCTGAGTATGAGCGAGCCTGATCACGAGTGAGTTTGAGCAGATGCGAATATGAAGCATCCTCGCCCTCTGGGCCCTTTAGGATGTTAAAACCAAAGCCTCACCCTCGACTGAAGCGTGCGCGCCCTATTCTGAACGCAGGCGAATCTGGCCACTAAGAAACAGGCAAACCGCTCGAGCCATCCTCAATATCTGGCCCCCCTTGGGAGCGAAAACCAGCGCCTCGCCCGAGGCATCCTCAAAATCTGCTCCGAGAGCGGAGGATATTGGGCACCGAAACAGGCAAAAAGCTCGAGGCATCCCCAACGCGTTGGCGCGAACGGAGGAGAGGCATACCCCCTGGCAGCCCCCCCTTTGGGATGCTGAATCCGGCGCTTCGCTCGAGACATCCACAGAATATGCTCCGCCATCATCACTATCATCGTCAACATCACCATCAGCAGCAGCAGCATCATCATCATCATCCTTACCATCATCAACATCAGCATCAGCATCATCATCATCGTTATCATCATCCTCATCATCATCAGCAGCATCATCATCACCAGCATCATCATCACCAGCATCGCGGCATAACATGGGATGGCATAACATAACATAGCACAACCGCACATACTGTGGGAGTGAAAAACCAGCGCCTCGCTCGAGTCATCCTCAAAATCTACTCCAAACGCTGAGGAGGCTGGGTCCCGAAGCAGGTGAACCGCTCGAGACAACCCAGCCATTTAGGCGCGAACGGAGGGGTGAGATACCCCCTGGCAGCCCCCCCTGGGGATGCTGAAACCCGCGCCTGGCTCGAGACATCCTCAGAATTTGCTCTGACATCATCATCATCATCATCATCATCATCATCATCATCATCATCATCAGCAGCAGCAGCAGCATCAGCATCTTCATCTTCATCTTCATCTTCATCATCATCATCATCATCGTCGTCGTCGTCGTCATCGTCATCATCATCATCATCATCGTTGCCGTCATCATCACAAGCATCATCGTCACCGTCATCACAGCATAACATGGCATAGCATAACATATCATAACATAGCATGGCATAGTGTACCATAACATACCATTCCTTAACATAACTTGCATAACATACCATGATAAAGCACTACAGCACCTGATATAACATGACATAACATGCAGAAGATGGCATAACATAACACGAGGAGGAGGAGGAGGAGGAGGAGGAGGAGGAGGGAGGGTGTGTGTGTGAGGGAGTTGGCGTGGTCGGAGTAATGACAAGAACGCCATCCTTCGGATATGGGGAATGATTCACTGCGTGGAGCTCCCCATATGTGCATCCATTCGCATGGACCTGTCCGCCGTGAGCGCCTAGGCGCAAGAGTTTTCGAATATATACGGGATTGAGTATTGACGGTCTGGGAGTGAATCTATTTGTAAATGAGTTGGAGTGTGAATGAGTCTCAGTAGCATTAGTGCGCGTCTCTGCGCATGAGCATGGGGCGTCCTGGGGCCTCTTGAAACCTCCCTCCTGGGGCTTCCTGGGGCCTCCTGGAGCCTCTTGGGGCCTCCTGGGACCTCTTGGGGCTTTCTGTGGCCTCCTGAGGCCTTCTGGGGCCTCGTGTGGCTTCCTGATACCTCCTGGAGCCTCCTGGGGCCTCCTGGGGCCTCCTGGGAAGGATTCGTGCCGTAGGATTGGCCCAATCTATATGAACAGACGTAAAACACTTCGGATTGGAGCCACAGGATAAGGGCAAGAGGAACACATGTAAAACACCAAGGATTCGTGCCCCAGGGGAGACCCAATCTATAGGAACATACGTAAAACACTTAGGAGTGGATACACAGGAGACGGACAACCTATAGAAACATACGTAATGCACCAAAGATTCGTGCTCCAGGGGAGGCCCAGTCTATGGGAGCATACGTAAAAACACATGGGAGCCACTCCTGTGGCCTTCTGAGGCCTCCTGCTCTGGTGGCCTCTTGAGGCCTCCTGGTGCCTTCTGGGGCCTCCTGGTGCCTCCTGGCGCTTCTTGTGGCCTCCTGTGGCCTCGTCCGGGAGCTTCCTGAGGCCTCGTGGAGCTTCCTGGGGCCTCCTGGTGCCTACTGGGGCATCCTGTGGCCTCTTGAGCCTTACTGTAGCCTCCTGGGGCCTCCTCGAGTCTGCTGGAGCCTCCTGTGGCATCCTGGGGAGGATCCGTGCCCACGAGTCTGGCCACCAAAAAAAGCAGACCGGTCAAGACATCCTCAGAATTTGGCCCCCCTCGGGGGCGAACATCAGCGCCTCGCTCGAGAAATCCTCCACATCTGCTCCGAAAGCAGAGGATGCTGGGCACCGAAACAGGCAAAAGGCTCGAGACATCCCCACCGTTTTGGCGCGAACGGAGGATGAGATAGCCCCTGGCGGCTCCCCCTTGGGGGTGTTGGAACCCGCGCCTCGCTCAAGACATTCTCAGAATTTGCTCAACCATCATCATCATCATCATCAACATCATCATCATCATCAGCAGCAGCAGCATCATCAGCAGGAGCATCAGCAGCAGCAGCATCATCAGCATCATCATCATCATCATCATCATCATCATCATCATCATCATCATCATCATCATCTGCAGCATCACCACCATCACCACTATCATCACCATCACCATCATACCATAACAGAACACATCATAACATAACATAACATACCATACCAACCATAATCAAAACATAATGTAACATGATATGCCATATCATTGCATGAGAGAACTTGTCATAACATAACATTTCATATCATAGCATACCATAGCATAGCATGACAAAACACATCATACCATACAATTATCTGACATGGGGATGATGAGGGAGGTGTGTGTGTGTATGAGGGAGATGGCGCGGTCGGAGTCATAACAAGAACCCCATCCTCTGAATATGGGGAATAAGAAGAACCCCATCCTTTGGACATGGGGAAGAAGAGCCCCATGCTTTGGATATGGGAGACAGGAAACCCATTCTTCGGATACGGGGACAACAACAACAACAACAACAACAGCAACCACAGCCACAACCACAACCACAACAAAAACAAAACGATGAAGCAAAGGCCATATTGTGCTCAGGTTGCGGGGCCGCTCCTCGGAGCTGGGTCGAGGAGCCCCTTCGTGAACGAGGCGCCTCGTGGCCCGAAGAGCCCCGTCGCTCCGTGTTCGCCGCGCCTTCGTTTGTAGCACGAGGGCCATGCTGGGAAGCTGGATACGCATCGTGCGGCCAGCCCGGGCAAGAGCTCGGTACACACGTGGCCATACAGTCAAGACGTTTGAGATACGGACCGCTTTGGGCTCAGGAGGGGCTCGGGCTTTCGGGCCGCTTCTTGTTCCTGATCACGCGTTCCTCATGGTAGCAGGCTGACTGTGTGTCGTTCCAGCGCTCGGCCCTGTCTGGCCGGGCACACGGGGCTTCCGTGCGTGAACCCAGCGCGCGTGGCCCCCAGAGCTTCCACATGTCAATCCTGCCATGTGTGTGTGTGCGTGCGTGCGTGCGTGCGTGTGTGCGTGTGTGCGTGTGTGCGTGTGTGCGTGTGTGCGTGTGTGCGTGTGTGCGTGTGTGCGTGTGTGCGTGTGTGCGTGTGGTGTGTGTGGTGTGTGTGTGGTGTGTGGGTGTGTGCGTGTGCGTTTGGGTGTGTGTGGGTGTGTGTGTGGGTGTGTGTGGGTGTGTGTGTGTGGGTGTGTGTGGGTGAGTGTGGTGTGTGTGGTGTGTGTGGTGTGTGTGGTGTGTGTGGTGTGTGTGGTGTGTGTGGTGTGAGTGTGTGTGTGTGTGGTGTGTGAGTGGTGTGTGTGGTGTGTGAGTGGTGTGTGTGGTGTGTGTGTGTGGTGTGTGTGTGTGTGATGTGTGTGTGTGTGTGTGTCCAGCCGCCTGGCGAATTCCCGGGGACCAGAGTAGAGCTCGAAGGCCGGTTTCTTGTGCAGCGTTGCGTCTCGGCATTCTAAGTTGCAGCTATGAGGTCTGGTCCTAGCTGTTTCAACGATTGCGCTGTCTTCCCCTCCCGTGCGTGCTCGACGTGTCCGAAAGTTTATGCGCATGCCGCGCGCCGACGCTCCAGGCCCTGGTGGCGGTGGCGGCGGCCGACCCGCCGCTGAGCTGCGACCTGCTCCGGGACGGCTGGCGCCCCACCTGGGGGGAACCGCAGCCAGGGGACTGCAGACCCTGTAGACTTCGGGGCTCAAGCGACGGGGGTCAATGCGAACGGGGGTCGGTCAGAGCGCCAGATCTTGCAGGATCTTGCAGAACCAAGATTGCATTGACCCTGGTTTGGGTGCAGGGTCCTGCAGGATCCTGCAGGATCTTGCAGTATCCTGCAGGGCCTAACTGACCCGGATTTGGATTGACCCGGGTCAGAAGATCTTCGAAGACTTTTTCGGGACAATGACAGCTTCCGTGGCCCATGGGGTGGGGGGGGTTGCGTTGGCCCGCTGTCGTCGTCGTCGTCGTCGTCATCGTCGTCGTTGTCGTTGTCGTCGTCCGTCGGCGTCGTCGTCCGTCGTCCGTCGTGCGTCGTCGTCGTCGACAACTACAGCGGGCATGCGCAGCACCCCCGCACCCACCCCCCCATGGAGCAGTTGCAGTGCGTCGTCGTCCGCCGTCGCCATTGCCGTCGTCGTCGTCGTCGTAGGACACATTATAGTGAAGGGGGCGGGGGCGGGGTGGAAAAGGAGAAGGAGGAGTCCTCTCCGCCTGCCTCTGCCGTTCCTCCCCCTCTTCCCTTGTTTATTTGTGGCCATGTCGGCACCGCCCGCCAGCTGAGGCGCCTCTTCCTCCCGCCTCCTCTTTCCTCCTGTCTGTAGCCATGTTGCCCCAAGCGCCCAGTCACAGCGGAGGCGTTGCTGTCCCCCTCCGCTGAAGCGACGCCGCTTGCGTCGCGCCTGTCGCCCTCCAGGGCGCCGCCGCCGCGTGTTTCCATTAGGCAGGAGCCCCCCCCCTCTTTTGCCCGAGCACGGGAACCATTTGTTTGAATCACACGTCCCGTTTGCTTTCATTAATCACAAACTGACAGTATCCATGTTCTTATATCATTAGCCCCATACCCTTAACCCTATCCCGATCCCCCCATCGTGGCCCCCATCGTACTTGCGCATAGGCGTTAGGGTCTTCTGCCCCGACTGTTTTCTGCAGGGATGGTGGGGTGCCGTCGGCGTTGGTCCCGGTTCGGGGCTGGTTGAGTGGGGGACGGGGGGGGTCACTAAAAATGAGCAGTGCTGAGTCCTTCCCCGAAGGGGCAGAAGGGGGCTCTGGAAGAAGAAATGCCATAGACTTCCTCGGCCCAGGAGGCTCGCGGGACCAGCCTCCTGCAAGCGGGGGGGGGGGGCCTTCTTTGTGGGCCGCCCCCTAGACTTGCCCCCTCTTGTGCGCGCCGAGGCCCAGGCTCGCTTAGTCCAGGTGGAGTGGGTGGGCATCCCCGTTCTTGCTCATCCTCCCAGATTTGACCTCTCGCTGTCTTGTCCGCGCGTTTGCGAGGCACGCGCGCTGGAACACCGCAGCACGTTGCCAGACTCAGAGGAAGCGTAGAGTCGGGAACGCGCTGCCAGCGGGAAAGTGGTTGCGATCGGGCGCATATTGTTCTGCGCGCGCCGCAAAACACCGGTTCGTTTGTCGCGCGGCGTGGCCAGGAGCCCACCCCCGGTGCGGCGTTCGGGCTCCGACGTCGCCTGCCCCCGTTGCGTCGCCGCTGCAGGGCGGAAGCCGTGGCGGGAACCACCCAGGGCCCGACCACGCGCGGCGTTCGGTGCCCAAGGACGGCGAGGACGAGGACGAGCACAACAACAAATGCCAAGATGTCCCCGCGCAGCTGCTGTCTCAAGAGCCCCCTGCACCGACAGACTGCCAAAGAGGGGCGAGCGGCCCCTGCCCACGCGCCCCGCACATTAGGAAGGTGAAGCACGGAGAGGAAAGGGAGGAGGAGGAGGAACAAAAGGAACAGGAGGAGGAAGAGAAGGAAGAGGAGGAGGAGGAGGAGGAGGAGGAGGAGGGGGAGGAGGAGGGGGAGGACCCCCGTCGTGCGGCCGCCCCCCGCTTCTTTCCCGTGGCCCGAGGTTCCTCGTGCACCGCAGCTCAGGACAGCCTAGCAGTGATTGGGCTGTGGGGTGCGAACCCAGGTGGTTTCCTCCGTCCCTCTGGTCCTCTGGTGTCCTCCTGTTGTCGCGTGTCTCGGTTGCCCCTGGGCGCTGGTCTACTCCCCGGGTCACCCCCCCTGGTCGGGGGGGTGTCGGCGGCCCTTTGGGGTCGCCTTGGACCGCCACACTGGCCCGCGTCGTCTTCGCTCGCCCGGCGTCGTTGCGTTTGGTTGGTGGTTGTCGTCTCGGTCGGTGTCGCTGTCGTGGGGTCGTGTTTGTCGTGTCCGTTTCGCTGCCGCTGTTGCTCCCGGTCGGCTGTCGCGTTCGCGCCCGTTCGAGTCCTGTTCTCTCCGGTTGTTCCTCCACCTGCGCTTTTCATTTCTTTGTTTCCTTCTTCCTCTGCCCTCCCCCTTTTTGCCTTTCTCTCTTCCTCCTCTGCCCTTCCCTCTGTTGTTTTCTCCCTCCTCTCGGTTCGGCTTGGCTCTCCTTTCCCGCCCCTGCTCCGCTCGGTCCTTCCGACTCCTGGCTTCCCACCCCCCCATCCCTCTCCAGGTTCGCGCCCCCCGTTGCCCTGGGCGGCCGCCCCGCGCACCCCTCCCCTTCCCCCCGCCCCAGGCGGTTTCACTCTCGCGGCTTGACGCGCCGCTCGACCGCCCCGCGCTCCCGCCGCGCACGGGGCCGCAGAGGCAAAAAGATGAGGAGGGTGAGAAAGAAGGAGGAGGAGGAACTGGAGGAGGAACTGGTGGAGGAGGAGGAGGAGGAGGAGCAGGAGGAGCAAGAGGGGAGGAGGAGGAGGAGGAGGAGGAGGAGCAGCAGGAGGAGAAGGAGGAGAAGGAGGAGAAGGCGGAGGAAGAAGAGATTTAAAGGGGCGGAGACCCGGCGGCGCGCCCAAGGGGGGGGTCCGAGGGGTTGAGCTTTCTGAGAAAGCGGCGGGGTTTCTCGGAAACTTTCTGGCCTTGTGAGATGTCCTCTGTGGCTTCGGTGAGATGCCGCGGAATTCCTTAGAAGGCGCGAGGGTTTCTGAGAAGCCCCGCGGTCTTCTGAAAAGGCCTGGCCCCTCTCGGTTTCCCCTTGGGCTCGCCGCCAAGAGATGGAAGGCGGACGATTCGGCTGCAATGATGCGCGATCGGTTCTCACGCGGCCATTGAACCAGCAGGGGCCGGGTTGTCCCACGCAGCGTTCACCACCACCGCCGCTTCGTCCTTGCCCAGTTGTCTCGGTGCCTCGCCGTGCCGGGCCTTCGTTTGCTAGGCACGTTGCTTCGTCGACTTCCTTTTTGCCTATCTCGTTGCATTATGGCCTGCGAGGCTCATTCCTAGATTCTCTGCTGCATGGCCCCTTGGTTGCCCAAGACTTTCAAGGTTTTGTTGCATCAATGCTTCGGGGCCTCAGGGTGGCATGTTGCCCTCGTCGCCCTGCCGCGTCGTTGCCTCATTGCTGCGTTTCCTCCCGATAGTTGGTCGCACTGGCTGCTCCACAATTTGCTCCGCGAGGAGAACTTGGCAGCAATAAGATTCATATAATCTCCTGTGTGAGTAATCTCGGCGCCTCTCCGACCAGCAACGCGAAGGCTCTTAGAACGCATCGTTTTGGGCGATGGTCAAGGCGACGGATCAAGCCTAGAACCAGAACATGATTTGAAAAATAAGTCAGGCGAAGCGCGCATCCTGCACTGCTGCCACAGCCCATCCATGGTGCAAGCTCAAAACGGCCCCATAGGGTCAGCTGTGGTAGGCAAGCAGCCCCCGACACCGACCCGCTCGCGATGCGCTGCGCCTCCGTTATTGCATCGGGTACCGAGCTGGCTGGGGTCTCGGAGACGCGATCTTGTCACCCCCTGCAGGATCTGAGTCCGACGGGGGTGCGCAGGCGGACGGGGGGATGCCTTTGGTGATGCGGACGGGGGTCATGGAGTTACCAAGGGGCTCCTCGGAGCTCACGCTTTCTGGGGAGACTCAGTGTTCCTTGGGGCGCAACGTGTTTTTGTCCACTCCGAGTCGAGTGAGCGAGGGGCCCGTAAGGCTCAGGGACTCTCGAGGACTTTGCGGGTTCCTTCGGTCAGGGCGATCAGGCGGGAGAAGAATGGGCGGAAGGAAGGGGGGGTGGGAGGAGGAGATCTGGAGAGGAGAGATTACAGGAGGAGGAGAATTGAGGGTAGGGAGAAGAAGAGGAGGAGAAGGAGGAGGAGGAGGAGGAGGAGGAGGAGCAGGAGGAGGAAGAGGTGGAGGAAGAGGAGCAAGCAGGAAAGAGGGGTCAAGACAGCCAGCTCGAAAGAGTCAGCAAGCCCCGCCTGTGCTCAACCACCCTCCCGCTGCACCGGGGTCGGTGCCAGCATCGACTGGACATCGGGGCTGGCGCGCGCGCCCAGCCAGCGAACGGAAGCCGCTCTCGCCCAGCCTGTGGGGGGGATCCGTGGGCCGCGCGCGGGGGAGAGGATCGAGAAAGGCCAGCGCGCGGAGGCAAGGTCGAGCCGCCCGCCAAAAGCCAGCCCATAGCAGTGCAGAGGCTCTTTCAGGGCCCAGGCCCTCGTCGGCGGCGCGCCCTGGGGGGGACGGAAGAGGGGGCCAGGCCCTCTTACAGGGCTTCGAAGGCGTCACAGGCGGCTTCTCAGGAGGCCGAGGGGGGGGTAAAAAAACCTCGGCGCCATCTGAGACGGCCTGCACCCTCTCATTTCCCCCCTTGGGCGCGCCGCCAGATCTCCCCCCCTTCATTTTCTTCTTCCTCCTCTTCCTCCTCATCCTCCTTCTCCTCGTTCTCCTCCTTCTTCTGGCTCAAGTCCTGATCACACCGCGGGAGATGCAGGACAATGGCATTGCCGCCCAGGGAAGGCCTTGGGCGCTGGGGCCCGAGCAGGCCCCCCTCCGCATTGTCGGCACGACGATCACGAAGTCTGCTTTCGCGCCCTCGCGCGCGCCCGTGAGGCGCAGGGCTCACAAGTCGCGATGGCCAAGCAGCATAAGCACATCACTTGCAATCGCCGCGGCTGTAAAGGCTGGGCTTGGTGTTCTACTGGCGCTAAGCATTGTGCTCAATGCGCCGGCCGTTT